ATAAAGTATGGTGACAGTTTGAGGTGACTGGTCAGGTTGAATGTGCAAGGGCCATACAAATGCAGATTTGACTGCTGTCTGATTTTCTGAGCCCCTGAGACCAAAACTTTAAACCCAAACACAAATTGAGTCTACAGTTGTGGTCACAAGGAATAAAAATCTCAGCATCCCATTCAACCAATTTCACCCAGTTTACAATGTAAAAGAACATATATAGTCAGAAACACTCAATTACATGTTCGCAGTAACCCTTTTTTTCAACCCATGTTATTTTTTTTATTTTTTTTTTAAGATGAAAATACTAAGGGGGGGCCTTAATGACCACCCTATCTTCTACCAACATATATGGCGTTTGTTGCACCTTGGCACCAGAGGTGAAACGGGGAGTTAGTACCGTGCTGCTTCTTAATTTCATCCCCTAAGTTCAAAAACTGTCTTCTGTCTTCTTCCTGTTGCACCAGAAAGGGGGTGACACATCAACAGTTATCTTATACATTACAGTTTGGGCAACTTGGTTCAGGGTTTTACCAACAATAACATAATTAATCTTGTAAATATTCTTAGACATAACTACCAGCTGCAATGAAAAAATATATTAATGATCAAATTAGGGTAACAACACATATAGTGTGGACTAGTCAAACACAGTGGTAAGCAAAGGATTAACATAGCCTTATAAGTGTATACACACACACAATACACAAGATCCAGCACACTCACTTATCCACTAAACACCAAGTTCATACATTGCATAAGCCTACCACAATGTCAATGTACTCCATCTTTGGCAGGTCCAAAGGAGTGGGTTAAAGGACCACTCTAGGCACCCAGACCACTTCAGCTTAATGAAGTGGTCTGGGTGCCAGGTCCTTCTAGGGTTAACCCATTTTTTCATAAACATAGCAGTTTCAGAGAAACTGCTATAATTATGAATGGGTTAAGCCTTCCCCCTAATCCTCTAGTGGCTGTCTCATTGACAGCCACTAGAGGCGCAGTGCTTCTCACTGTGAAAATCACGGTGAGAGCGCGCCAGCGTCCATAGGAAAGCATTGTAAATGCTTTCCTATGAGACCGGCTGAATGCGCGCGCAGCTCTTGCCGCGCGTGCGCATTCAGCCGGCGGGGCGTAACGGAGGAGGAGAGGAGGAGGAGAGCTCTCCGCCCAGCGCTGGAAAAAGGTAAGTTTTTACCCCTTTCCCCTTCCAGAGCCGGGCGGGAGGGGGACCCTGAGGGTGGGGGCACCCTCAGGGCACTATAGTGCCAGGAAAACGAGTATGTTTTCCTGGCACTATAGTGGTCCTTTAATCTCATAAGAGCATACATTCGGCTGTTAGATTAGGACCTGCCAAAGATGGGGTACATTGACATTGTGGCTGGCTTAGGCAATGTATGATCATATAATGTAACTAAACCACCATTATTTTTGCCTAGATTAGGTGTTTAAAAAACAAACAAACAAAAAAAAAAACAAATACAAATCTGTCAACATTGAAGTTGCTGTTTACTGGAAAAGTGAGTGCGCTGGATCTTGTGTATAGTATATATAGGCCCCATTTATGCATGTTCAGGTGAGTGCAGCCCCCTGGTTTCACACACACACACACACACACACACACACACACATATATACTTGTGTTAGGGGCAATATTGATGTAAGAATTAGATAAAACATGAATCGTAGTGAATACCATAGTTAATAACACCAGTCAGTTGTGATGTGCTGGAACTGACAATGCAGTAGGCCTGTAATTAAGAGAGCCCACCTTAAAGAGTGATGTCTAAAAGAGGGAGTGGTAGGAGGGGCACTCGCCAGACCAAGAGGGATAGTACACAGTTTTTGCCATTTCCCTTTTACAGGGGAAAGCTTGAGGCCATTGACTAAATTGGTCAATAATGTACAATAGATACGGATACCCACCTTTAGCCGTGTGTAAAATCAATCTGAAGATGTTTGATGGGCCCTTCTGGTGGAGGTTAATTATCATGCTTACCATTGTTGGTGCCTCCTTGGTTGTTCATGGCACATGTGAGGAACATGCCAGTTTTCTGATCATCTCCACAATTACAATTTGTTCACAAGGTTGGCAACATACTTCCTCCATTCTAGCAACATCCACTTCAAACTTCAAACCGTTGACATATCCTCTTGCACCTGCCGTGTGCTTGTGTGCTTGTATGTCCAAAACCATGAAAATGACTAATAAAAAGTGGTGCAACCCATGAAGAAAAAAAATATATATTCCACAAGATACTGCACAAGCTGCTCTACTAACCACTCAACAACTCACGGAGAGTACTCAAGACATTGTAATGCATCCCCCTTCCCCCTATGCACTGTTTGTCTTCCTCTCTACTTCCACCATGAAGGAATTTGATTCAGCAGGGGATCCTGCATCACCTACACTTCATAAGAATCAAAATTTATATCCCCCTAAACCTCCACCCCCAGTGGCCTGTTGCCGCACAACCTACACCAAAAGTACGGACCGTTACCACCTTCCGCATCGGTCAAACTCAACCACAGCGATTATATACATTAACACAAGGCCCACTCCTCAGGTCCATGTCATACCATATTGCAATAGCTCTAGATATATACATTCTGTTGTCACCTTCTTATTCTTGTAGCCATTATATTCTAATATACGTTGGACCGTAATGCATGACCGCAAACATGTGTCGTGTTTACCTGGACAGGATGATGACAAACTATGATGTACAACTTTTATGTCATTATCAGTCTATGGTGATACGCTGTTTCTGTACACTGATGCTACTTCCCCTCCCCTTTCTTAATTTCTGTACCCAAAAACTTAAATTGGAAGAAAAAAACAACAAATTGGTGCAACTGCTTGACCAAAGGCCCAAAAGGGTCCTTCGTCAAACCCTTTGATTTCCACAAGGAAAGTTAATCAGAAGTGGCCATGTTCTGTAGGTAATGTAGATCAGTGTAGGAGGCAAATTCTTGAATCATCACCATGAATAGCTGTGTGTTCATGTCTGTTGACTAAATTGATTGACAGCCACTAGAGACAGATTTAGTGCTGCAAGGTAATTAATGCAGTTTATCTAAAACTGCAGTGACTTACAGTGCAGAACTAAGTAGCACAGTGATACTGTATTAAACTGAAAAGGTCTGGGTGACTCTAGTGTCTCTTCAATACTAAACTTTTTTTCCATTACGCAAACAAATTATGTCAACATTTCAGTTCTGTTCGGTTCTTCTGTACAATAAAAACATAAGACACATTAATTGTAGTAATTATAGAAACAAAGATTACAACTTACCACCTGGTGTGCGATCAATCATGCCCCCTAGCGTAAATGTGAAGTGAGACAACCCATTACCATAGTGCTCATAAACAAAATAACAATATACCTATTAATGTTAAATTAAAGCTTATCTTGGAAAGTGCAGATTTTCAATTGAAAAAAAATTGTGTTTAAATTGCAAATGAATAGGTGGAAACCACAATAAAAAAAAGTTAATTGGTGTCATTATAAAGTGCCCATAAATAATTTAAAAATATGTGACTTCCAAATGTTCTATTCATGTGCATTAAAGACAAAATTACAATCGAGTTGTAAAAATTCACTCACGTCAACCTGGTGGAGAGCTGAATAGGTACACACTTACCGTAATGGTAAAAGGGTTAGATATATACAGAAAGGAGTATACTAGGAATAAAAAGATAAGGAAATAGTGTAATACACTCAGAACAGGAGGATATATAATGTGGGTAGTGGGTGCACTCAAATGGAACAGAGTCTCACAAAGACAGGCTCAGCTCACAACAGAGAAAGCATACTAAGGTGATACCAGGGCCTCTTCTGTCACGAACACAGAAGAGTTGAGAGAGGGGATAAAGCAAAAAGAGCAGATTCTAGTGTAAAATCTTATAACGAGTGTATAATAAATATAAAGTGTAATTAACTGCTCACCTGGAAGAGAGCCATATATACTAGGCTCTCAGTATAATAGCATGTGTGTCAGTAAAGGGTACATAGCCCTTCTTTACATGGAAGCAGGTAGTAGGAGTCCACAGGATTAGAGAGTGAGGCTATTACTTTTATTGATTTAAAATCAAAGCAATTAACAGCTATTAGAAACAAGCCATATACTGACAAAATAGAAAACTGTCAACAGGTCCTCCTAATGCTCAAGACACATTTCACCGATTTCCACAGCTTTTTCAATTGATGAGCTGCTTCCATCAAGTTCATCACAGTTAAATATCCAGCCATCTATGGTGATTGGGTGATGTGTCAGAGATTCGGCTAATCGCAATCCATCCGGGGATTGTATGCTTCAGCTGTTCCATATTGGTTTATAATGGAAGTTACGCAATCTCCACCTCGTCACTTCCGAATCTTCTGTATCTCCAAGTCTGTGGCAGAAATGTTGTCCTGGTTCGTTCAATAGTACTTGCAACCATTAATGAAAAGGGCAGTGTATACTTACATGTGGGGTATATATCACAAAGATATCTGATGTGGAATCAATCAATCGATTATCTTGCGTATCTGCCACTGACCAAATTTAAAAAGATGCGTGCAAGCTTCTGAAGTAATTCACACCAGACACAGGTTTCAGGTTAATGAAAAACTTGAGGAATGTTTATTTTGAGGGGACAGCATGTCCCTTATAAAGCAAAAATTACATCATATGCATTGTCAGAGATAACATAGAATAATACATCAATAATGGTTAGGTGTTAAGTGGTTCATTTAGTGCCCTTCCTACCGGGAGTGATGTCACTGGTCTCCCCCAGATTCCAGCGCCATATTGATAATGAGGGTGTTAGTCGATGTCAAAGGGAAACTCCCTAGCGGCATTTTTAGGTAAGTCACGTATAAGGTTGAATAATGCTAATTGTGGTTATGCTGAGTAAATAGGCATTTTATTAATATGAATTGGGTTAATATTTTTGTCCACAACAGTCCCCCCTTAAAATGACTATTTACTAAAGAGACAACTACTAACTGACCCTAATAATGTCCCTACTTGGCTGCAGCTAATCTGTCGGAACAGGCCTCGAACGCTTCACTGCGCGGGTATCCCGTAGTGGCTAACCCACTACATCTCCTGCGTCAGACTCCTACCCGTGGAGACAGACGCTGTCCCTATAAAGAAGTAGTTGTCCTTTTGAGGTGGTGGGACTGAAGAGGTGTGTGCGGTGTGTCACAGTCTATATCGTCAATATCTTAATGTAGGAATGTAGGTGTGGTGCGGTCAATGGTCTGATCTACAGTCTTTTGTAAGTACCTTTGCAACCAGGGCATCACGCAGCAAACCAGGAAGAGGAGGAGAATCACTACTATGAGAACTGCCATACCTACTTGAAAGAGAAGTCTCTGCCATCCACTCATCCTCCCAACCATCTGTCCCATGAATTGGAGACCTCTGAGTTCTTTTTTAATTCGGCAGAGAGACTTTCTAATTTCTCTATGGCCATGGTTACTTTACCATTGGGGCCCGTATTATCTGGAATGAAGGTACAGCATGTCATAGTGTCGGGGAGTATTTTACACACACCCCCCTTTTCTGCTAGGATCATGTCTAAGGCCATTCGATTCTGGAATGTCATTTGGGAGGTAGCCTGCAATTGTTCTGCCAAGCCTTGAAGGGTATCTCTAGTATAATTGACAAAACGTTGCTGATTATAATAGATATAATTAATCCAGTTAACATTCTTGTTAGCGGTGACGAGTGGGATCAAGGATTCGAATCCTGCCGCAACCTCATCCCTGGCCTTGAACTTGTTTGGTACCCCCCTTGGTACACCTATTGCATCGATATATATATGTGGGTCGAAACTACCTTGAATAGGGGTTTCTCTTTTTATCCTGAAGTATGTGTGTGGGGAATCAAGTGGGCATTGGTGGTTATCAGAATTTATATGTATAGGCATGATGGCTTTGGTCAGAGTGCATTCTCCCCACCACAGGCCAGTCATTTTAGATCTGAGTTGCATATCACCACATAAATGTCTCCCAAGGACTTGACTTGATTTACCAATAAGGTAGTGGGAGGTGTCCAATAGGTGGCACAGTAGCCAGGAGGGAAACTACCCACAAATTTACCCGTGGTTCCATGTATAGTGTAGCAAGTGTAATTACCTGGATACACGGTGAGTCCATCAGGTGGCCTGAGATTTCCTTGAGTTATTGGATATGCCTTTTTCCATGATTCACATACTGATGAGTTTGTGGTTGATTGTACATAGAGGCTTAGAAAACACATCTCAACATCGGGGGGTAGATTAAAAGGCACTGTACCCAGATGGGGTCTGGCCCCGCCACAGACATAACAGTTAGTTTTAGTGTGAATTAGCATTATACCTCATCCACTCGAGCCATAGGTTGGTATCTGAAAAACCGGTCTCCACAGCCATAGTGTCCTCGAATATAGGATTGGCAATTGCCACCATGTCCTTAAGAGTTTTAATGTGTGGTTTTAGAGGGTTTGTGATCATGTGTGTAGAGTCTACCCAGTCAGGTGATGTATGCATGTCTTGTAAATAGAAGGTCCCCAACTTGTTATATGAGCCACCCCCTCTCCAGTACATCCCCATTACATACTCTCCAGTGTCTCCTGGGCTGGGATGTTCTATGTTTAAGGTGAGTTTCATTGGGGTAGACTCTGTTGGCTTACATAAGGTCATTCTGTGTAATAAGGGTTTCCCATGTCTGTCCACCCTAAGGCGCTTTGTGGTCTGTAGCCCCATGGTCGGCCTATGTTCCAACCTGCTGCTTTCCAGGTACTACAGTGATGTCCCCAATGGTCACCTGTCACAAATGTATGGGTCCTTTCTATTGGGTATGTCTTTGTATGTTGCTGAGTGTTATGATTGTGGAAAGGTACAAGGAACAATATCACAGTAATCAAAGGTAAAAGTAGCTACATGTGTGTTTGAAGAGTTATACCAGAATGTGTAAACATGATTATCTTTGGTAATAGCAACATGTTGGGCCTTTAATAGGCCTAGCAGCAGAAATAGACACAGGGAAGCTCATAGTTTAGCGGTATCTGCTTCCTCTGGATCAGGAACTTTCTTACAGTGCGAGGCGTGTATCCAGGTATTCTTCCCAGCCAATTTTACCGAGGTAGACGTGGTCAATAGGACTATCAAACCTTGGTTTAAGAGTGTGCTTTCTCAGGAATTTCTTGACCATAACCCAGACACCAGGAAGGAGTTTATGTGTGCCTGTTTTTGATTCTGGATCTGGAATAGAAGAAAACACCTGTGCATGGATTTTGGTCAAGGCATGAGAGAGTGCAGTTATATAATCTACCATTGCATCTGACTGAATTTGAAGTTGTTGAGGAAAGTAACAGCCTAACCTGGGTGCTGGGCCAAATAAAATCTCGTAGAGGGATAAGCTAAATCTCCCTCTTAGAGTGTACCTTACACTAAATAGTGCTATGGGAAGACTTTACGGCCAGTGTAGGTTAGTTTCTTGGGCCATCTTAAGCATTCTGGTGGCTTTCAAGGTGCCATTCTACTTTACCACTACTCTGTGGGTGATAGGGTGTGTGGAATGCAAGGGTTACCCCCAGTGCTGCCCAGATTTCCTTGGTTAGCAACGCGGTGAAGGATGTTCCCTGGTCACTTTCAATCACCTCAGGAACTCCATATCTGCAGATGATTTCGGTAAGTAGGGGCTTTGCTGTGGTCTTCGCAGTGAGATTAGTGACAGGAAAAGCTTCTGGCCATCCTGAAAACATATCCACTATGACCAGTGCATATTCATACCGGCCACTTTTTGGATATGATCAATTTGGATCCTTTGGATAGGGTACTGTGTCTTGGCCAAATGGTTTGGTGCGGCTTTAATTATTTTTCCCAGTTTACATCTGGCGCAGATAGTACAGGATCTGCAGTAATTTCTTGTCAAAGTAGTGATTCTGGGTGCCTCAAAATATTTATCAATCAGGGAGTTCATGAGGTGCTTGGATAAATGGGCTGGGCCATGGGCCCACTGAACGACAGCTGGGTACATATTTTTGGGTAGACAGAATTTGAGGTTGATAGTGTACACTTCATTTTGGAGGGTTGCCCCTTTATCTTTCCAACTTTGTTTTTCCTGAGGGGTGGCAGCGGCCTGTTGTTCTCTCAGGAACTTGAGATTGGTAGGTAGGGTTTGCATAATGTAAATAGGAGTCTGTTCATCAGGCACTCTTCTGTCCACTTCCCGACACTGGTGTCTTTAGCAGCCTGATCGGCTAAGTAATTGCCACATGCTTCTTCTAAATTCAATCTCCCGTGGGCCTTTACCTTCAAAATAACCACCTCTTTAGGGAGAAGTAAGGCATCCATTAATTCGTTGATAGCTGCTGCCGTAAGAAACCCCCTTGTTTTCCAGATTAAGCCAAAATCATGTGCTACGCCCAGGGCATACCTTGATTCTGTATAGATGTTAACACATTCCCTTCAGACATCTTACATGCTGCTGTAAGGGCTATTAGTTCGGCTTCTTGTGCTGACTTAGATGATGGGAGTGAAGATGCTTGGAGTACTCGATCTTCTGTGGTGACAGCATATCCGGTATGATATTGTCCCCGTACGTCGGCAAATCTAGAACCATCCACAAACAGGGTGAAGTCAGGATCTGGTGCCTTGTGCACCATTGGGAGATGGGTTGTCTCAATTTTCATCTGTCCAAAACAGTAATGAGGGGCATCCGGGTCCTGTTCTGTAGGAGGGATGTCTTCACATATCTCTGTGTGATATCGAGGAAGTGGCAGAAGAGTGGCCGGGTTCAAAGAGTAACATCTTTGTAGAGTGACGTTATCAGGCAAGAGGAGGGAGGTTTGAAGAAGGAGGTTGATAAGGTGTGGATATGATTGGCCAGGGTGGCCTGTCTCTGGGAAACCCTATGATTCGCAGGGTGGAATGGGCTGAGCCTCTGCACGTTATCATCTTCGGGGTGAATTGGGAACGGGAGACCGCGGTAGCTGGCGGCATCTTGTGAATTAGGGGCTTGAGCAGCCGGAGCACCGGAGTTGGGGGAACCAACAGCAATGGTCTGGGGAGTAACTAATTGAGAGGTAGTGGGATGAAAGCCTGATGCAGCAGGAGAGGCGCCTACAGCATGAGGTTGTTCCAATGCAACAGAACCAACCATCATGATTGGGTAACTGGGAGCCGCCATGAGGGAGGTGGAGACAGGAACTGGACTGGGTGAGGGGGCGGAAGAGGAAATGGTTGGAAGGGTGCTGGGAGGGGAAGTGATAGTCATAACCGGAGGTGACGGGGTCTGAGTAAGCTGAGGGAGATGAGCGGAGAGGGCGAAAATGAGTGATGAAAGATCAAGGGTGGGAGGGACTACGGGATTGGAGGCTGGAAGGGGAGGGGAAGGTGAAACTGGGACGGAAGGGGTGATGGGGAGAGGAGAGGGCGATGCAGGAGCAGAGGGAATGGCACAGGAAGATTGGTCGAAGGGGGATATGGCAGAGGGAGATGTGACAAGGGGAACAATGGGTGAAGGCCGAGGGGAGCAGGAATAGAAGGAATGACAGGGAAAGGAACAAGAGCGGTGACAGGGGAGGCAATGGGTGAAGGTGAAAGGGGAGCTGGAATAAAAGGAATGACAGATGGAGGTGGGAGAGGGGTGATTTCAGAAGAAGTGATAGAGGAAGGTGGAAGAGGGATGGGTTCAGCAGCGACAGGGGAAGGTGGAAGAGAGACAGGACTCGAGGGAAGTGGGAGAGGGGCTGGGATAGTGGGACCGAGGCGGGAATAATAGGAATGACAGAGGGAGGTGGGGGAGTGATGGGAACAGTAGGAATGACAGAGGGAGGTGGGAATGGGGCGGGAGCAGTGGCAAAAACAGAGGGAGGTGGGAGAGGGACGGGATAGTAATAAGATCCGTCTGCCCCGAGGACGGGGTACAGAGGGGTGGGGACAGAGGAGCCTACGCCAATTGGAGGTGACGACTGGGTAGTGGCTGGGGAGGCGGAGTCTTGTGTTGGGCGCCATCATAGGGCGGTGGCTGGGGAACATCAAGAGATGAATCATCATTACAAACATTTCTATGATATACATAAATCGATTGTCCTCCAAAATCTAGTTCTTCCTCTAACCAACCCTCCCGCTTGAGTCCTCTTGCCACCCGATACCAAGCCTCCACGGCTTTCGTTAGCCCATTATCCAACAATAAGCCCTCTTTGTCAATAAGCAATTTCCTCCAAAATTCTGGCTGTAATCTACCACTGGGTGGCCACAAATCCTTGCTATTTTCTTTACTTTTAACATAGCATCTTCTCCCGCTCTCTCCTTAACTATGTCACAAGCTAAGTAGCCTTTGGAAGGTCTGGCGTGTTCTTGTCCCATTTTTACCAAACAAGGCTTCCCACGTAAGAGGGACAGAGAGAGAGAGAAGGGAAAAAGAAGGAATGTCTACCGTGCTCGACTGCCACGAGGAATTAATCTTCTTGCCTCTTCCCTAAACGTAGACTAGTCACGGGATCCGTCCACCCGAGATGGAGGCCACGGATCTGAGCAGGTGAGCGTGGGTCACTAACACTGCTCTGGGTAAAAAGTACAGAAGAGATAGAGAATGAAGGAAAAGGTGAACATGGAGAAACTAATCAGAAGACATTTACAAGAGTCACAGATGTAGAGATGTGCACATAATCAGGAATCAAGGATTAGCCACGCAACACACACACACACAGCGAGGGTACCCACACTATGGCCACAATTGAATAAAAACCATAATACAATAAAGAACAACATAACAACGAGCATAGTAACAACTAAACAGTAAATAAAACCCTGTTCTGCTCTGAACAGTATGACAAAATTCCCAGCCTTTCTCGAGGCGGTTCCCAGCCCTTAACCAGGCAGATGCGTTCCCTGCCCGCTAGGTAGTCAAACTAGAATAAATTCCCAGCCCCTCACCGGGCGGATGCGTTCCCTGCCCGCTAGGCAGTCAAACTACAGTAAATTCCTAGCCCCTCACAAGGCGGATGCGTTCCCTGCCCGCTAGGCAGTCAAGCTAAAATAAATTCCCAGCCCCTCACCGGGCGGATGCGTTCCTTGCCCGCTAGGCAGTTAAGCTACAGTAAATTCCCAGTCACTCACCGGGCAGATGTGTTCCCTGCCCGCTAGGCAGTCAAGCTATAGTAAATAAAACATAAACCCCACACCAGCTGTCTCACACGCACACAAACACTCAGGAGGCAGATAGACAATCGACAGGTTCGTTTAAAAAAGGCACCGGATAAGAAATTACCTGTCTTGTAGCATTCTGGAAGTCGGAAGTGGACACGGAGACAGACCGACACAAAACAGGAGAATACAGGCAAACCACTGCATTTAGAAGGTGATCAGGCTCCAGTTTTCCCACTTTCCGGAGGTCCGCTCCGGTCCCGGCAGTCCAAACCGGTAAACCCCGGTGGCCCCACGTTGGGCGCCAAATGATGTGGAATCAATCAATTGATTATCTTGCGTATCTGCCCCCGGCCAAATTAAAAAAGATGCGTGCACCCTCCTGAAGTAATTCACACCAGACACAGGTTTCGGGTTAATGAAAAACTTGAGGAATGTTTATTTTGAGGGGACGGCATGTCCCTTATAAAGCAAAAATTATATCATGTGCATTGTCAGAGATAACATGGAATAATACATCAATAATTGGTTAGGTGTTAAGTGGTTCATTTAGTGCTCTTCCTACCGGGTGTGATGTCACTGGTATCTTGGAGGTATCCCCCAGATTCCAGCGCCATCTTGTTAATGAGGGTGTTAGTCGATGTCAAAGGGAAACTCCCTAGCGGTCTTTTTAGGTAAATCACATTTATGGTTGACTAATGCTGATTGTGCTTATTCTGAGTAAATAGGCATTTTATTAAAATGAATTGGGTTAATTTTTGTCCACAACAATATCCAACAGTAAGAGGTATAGAAAGACATAAAAAAAAAAAAATCTTAGAAATATAAAAATATTAATGACAAATTAAAATAATAAGCAGTGTGTGGGGCTTGCACATACAGCAGCTACATGATTCTAAATATTCTAAATAAAAAAAAAAAATATATATATATACACACACCTGATACATTATTTACATAAACTATTTTTAAACTCTATAAGATCATATTAAAATAGCTACTTCACACTATTTCACATTTGTAGACCTACTATAATATGGTATATTTCATAATATAAAAAGTTAACACTATTATAGTAATAAATACGGAAAAATATAGCCCTAAATATATAATAAAAAAAGGAGATCTTTAAGAAATGGCACAATTCTAAATCACTGTTAAGCCCAAATGGCTGTAAAGTATTCAAATCCCGTAATTTCAGTTCGTTCCATGTTTTTAATGATATCTTCAACCCTCGAATTAATGTTAACTTCTCAAATTCCTATAAAGTCAAAGCTTTTAAAAATGAGATATACAAATATATTCGGGGCCAATACAAACCATTGTGTGGAAATCTATTCACAAACCGGACTTTACATAGGATACAAGGTCATGCGTTTAGACTGGAAGAAAGAAGATTTCGTCTAAGGCAAAGGAAAGGTTTTTTTTTTTTACTGTAAGAACAATCAGGATGTGGAATTCTCTGCCTGAAGAAGTGGTTTTATCAGAGTCCATACAGATGTTCAAACAGCTACCAGATGTATACTTGCAAAAACGGAATATTCAAGGATATAATCTTTCAATGTAGGGTAATAACTGCTTGATCCAAGGATAAATCTGACTGCCATTCTGGGGTCAAGAAGGATTTTTTCCCCCTAGCTTATTGGAAGTGCTTCAAACGTTTTTTTTTTTGCCTTCTTTTGGATCAACAGCAAAAAATAAATGTGAAGAAAGGCTGAATTTGATAGTCGCAAGTCTCTTTTCAGCTATGTAACTTTTTTCATAAAACCATTTTATCACATTCCCAATATGTTCTTCTATGCACACCTGGAGTGCGACCAACATAAAAGAGTCCACATAAATACATGAATACATTTTTACTATAGCAGGTGATTGTATCCTTTATATAATTTTTTTATTTTTATTTTGAAGATGGATGAAACGCTTTAGATTTCTTTTCTTACTATGCATATTTTTGCAAGCCATACAGATTCCACAACCATAGAATTCCTTTGATTCATTCAAAAAGTGTAATGTAGATTATTAAGTGTTTTTGCATAGCAAGACCACTTAATGTTATCTCACATATATATTATTATTCTTATTATAGCCAAATTTACCACCCTAACACCTCCCACAGTTTTTACACTACATAGACAGTAATATACCGAAACGTGCGGATTGTTCCCGATCGGATTGTTATTACTTTGTGGAACGTTTCGCCGAATTGTTCACGGAATATCATCGTTCTTGTGGCGAAATTGGTCCCATAGGAATGAATGGCAAAATGTTCAAAACTAGAGTGGGAGTTGGCAAAAGCTGAAAAATCAGGACATCACAGTGCAGGTGGAAAAAGTATGTGAACCCTTGGATTTAATAACTGGTTGAACCTCCTTTGGCAGCAATAACTTCAACCAAACGTTTCCTGTAGTTGCAGATCAGACGTGCACAACGGTCAGGAGTAATTCTTGACCATTCCTCTTTACAGAACGGTTTCAGTTCAGCAATATTCTTGGGATGTCTGGTGTGAATCGCTTTCTTGAGGTCATGCTACAGCATCTCAATCGGGTTGAGGCTTTTTTTGCCACACATAATGTTGTGTGTTTCTTCCAAACAACTCAACTTTGGTTTCATCTGTCCACAGAATATTTTGCCAGTACTGCTGTGGAACATCCAGGTGCTCTTGTGTAAACTGTAAACGTGCAGCAATGTTTTGTTTAGACAGCAGTGGCTTCCTCCTTGGTATCCTCCTATGAAATCCATTCTTGTTTAGTGTTTTACGTATTGTAGATTCGCTAACAGGGATGTTAGGATTTGCCAGTGACTTTTGTAAGTCTTTAGCTTGCACTCTAGGATTCTTCTTCACCTCACTGAGCAGTCTGCGCTGTGCACTTGCGGTTATCTTTACAGGACTGCCACTCCTAGGGAGTAGTAGTGCTGAACTTTCTCCATTTATAGACAATTTTGTCTTACCGTGGACTGATGAACAGCAAGACTTTTGGAGATACTTTTATAACCCTATTCCAGCTTTATGCAAGTCAACAATTCTTAATCGTGGGTCTTCTGAGAGCTCTTTTGTGCGAGGCATCATTCACATCAGGCAATGCTTCTTGTGAAAAGCAAACTCAGAACTGGTGTGTGTTTTTTATAGGGCAGGGCAGTTGTAACCAACACCTCCAATCTCATCTTATTGATTGGACTCCAGTTGGCTGTCATCTCACTCCAATTAGCTCTTGAAGATGTCATTAGTCTAGGGGTTCACATACTTTTTCCACCTGCACTGTGAATGTTTACATGGTGTGTTCAATAAAAACATGGCAACATTTCATTCTTTGTGTGTTATTAGTTTACGCAAACTGTGATTGTCTATTGTTGTGACTTATATGATGATCAGATCACATTTTATGACCAATTTGTGTAGAAATCCATATCATTCCAAAGGGTTCACATACTTTTTCTTGCAACTGTATCAATATGTTCAGCTATCCCTGCTGCCACTAAAAATGTCCACGGCTAAGCCATAGTCCTGATAGTTTTCACAATATGACCATTTGTTTGCAACTCACGCCATCCATTAACATGCATTGAAACTCCACTCTAGCCAGCACAAACGTGAAGGGCAATTTCTAAACTGCGACTGTGCCTTCATTTTTAATACCTCAGAGACATACTATGCATCAAAATGTAGGTCTGAGTCTTGTGATTCTCTTCGCTGTAGGATGTATAGTTTTTAGAATATGACCGTTTGAAGATGGCAACTTCCAAAATACTCTGACCTGTGCCAGGCTGGAGCAGCAAGTGATGTCATAGACAGGGCCTTTTGTACACCTGCTAAATGTTTTTATAAATGTATGTTTTAATGTAACTGTGAAGCACTTTGAGCAACAACGTTGCAATTAAATGTGCTATATTAATAAATAATAAGTTACTTCACCCACTCCAGTTGTAGACTACTGGTGGAGGCAAGAACACTTCACACAATTTCCCCAGAAATTGTAGCTTTTCTAGTTAAGTGTTCTTGCATAGCAAGACCACTTAATGTTATCTCACATATATATTATTCTTATTCTAGCCAAAGTTACCACCATAACCCCTCCCACACAGTTTTTACACTACATAGACAGTAATATACCGAAACGTGCGGATTGTTCCCGATTGGATTGCTATTACTTTGTGGAACGTTTCGCCGAATGGTTCACGGAATATCGTCGTTCTTGTGGTGAAATTGGTCCCATAGGAATGAATGGCAAAAATGTTCAAAACTAGAGTGGGAGCTGGCAAAAGCTGAAAAATAAGGACGATTTCTAAACTGCCACCACTCCCTCATTTTCAAGCCCACCTACACAAATCTTATATCAAAACGTTCAGCTATCCCTGCTGCCACAAAAAAATGACCACGGCTAAGCCATAGTCCTGATAGTTTTCACAATATGACCGTTTGTTTGCAACTCACGCCGTCCATTGACATTCATTTAAACTCCTTACTAGCCAGCTCAAATATGAAGGGCAATTTCTAAACTGCGACTGTGCCTTCATTTTTAATACTTCAGAAGCATACTATGCATCAAAATGTAGGTCTGGATCTTGTGATTCTCACAATATAAAGGTCTTCGTTGTAGGATTTATAGTTTGTAAAATACGACCGTTTGAAGAGGGCAACTGCCAAAATACTCTGACCTGTGCCAGGCTAGAGTAGCAAGTAATTGCATAGGCAGGGCCTTTTGTACACCTGCTAATGTTTTTGTAAATGTATGTTTTAATGTAACTGTGAAGCACTTTGGGCAACAACGTTGCAATTAAATGTGCTATATGAATAAATATAGCTTTTGCCAGCTCCCACTCTAGTTTTGAACATTTTGCCATTCATTTCTATGGAACCAATTTCGCACAAGAACGATGATATTCCGTGAACCATTTGGCGAAACGTTCCAAAAAGTAATAGCAATCCAATCGGGAACAATCCGCACGTTTCAGTATATTACGGTCTATGTAGTGTAAAAACTGTGGGAGGAGTTAGGGTGGTAAATTTGGCTATAATAAGAATAATATATATGTGAGATAACATTAAATGGTCTTGCTATGCAAGAACACTTAACAGTTACTCCACCCACTCCAGGTGTAGACTACTGGTGGAGGCAAGAACACCTCACACAATTTCACCAGAAATTGTAGCTTTTCTAGTTATTATTCTTATTATGTATGTATGCAATGTAACTGTGAAGCATTTTGGACAACAACATTGCAATTAAATGTGCTATATAAATAAAAGTTGAAATACATTTCCCACCCTATCAAGCTTGCCATGTGCACTTTTTATTTGATCAATCAATTGGTTAGTGTAATGTTTACTATCTTTACTCACTCCAAACACTCCACACAGTTACTCTGCCCAGTCCAACCTTTCCACAGTTACTAAAGCCACTCCAACCATCTAAACTACTTCAAATTGGAACATGGACACAGCGTAAAACTTCAAAGTTAGAAAAAAACTGAATGGCTGCGTGTCAAATGTGCCCCTTCAACATCCACATATACCTGGCAAAGGTACATACGGGGGTATTGCTGTACTCAGACCACATAGCTGAGCAACATATGAAGTATTGTACAGTCGTAGCACAAATAAGGTTTGCAAAATATACTGTGCAAACTCACTTTGTGTGTCAAAAAGGCAGAAAAAACGCTTATTACCACTAAACTTGGTACAAGCTAGCAGAAAAATGATCCCACGCTAAGATTCAAAATATGCCTTTTGAAATACCCTGGGATGTCTTCTTTAAGAAATGGTATGGCTTTATGGGGTATTTGGATTATATAGCCTGGTGAAATACTCTAAATTTTTACGCTGTGCTCATGTCCCATTTTAAAGTTTGAAAAAAACTGGAATTGCTGTGTCCCAAATGTGCCCCTCTGATGTCCACATAAACCTGGCAAAAGTACATACGGGGATATTGCTGTACTCAGCCAACATAGCTGAGCAACATATGAAGTATTATACAGTCGTAGCACACATAAGGCTTGCAAAATATACTGTGCAAACTCCCTTTGTGTGTCAAAAAGGCAGAAAAAATGCTTATTACCACCACAATTGGTACAAGCTAGCAGAAAAATGATCCCACGCTAAGGTTCAAAATATACCTTTTGAAATACCCTAGGGTGTCTACTTTAAGAAATGGTAGGTCTTTGTGGGGTAGTTTGAATTTAAAACCTGCAAAGATGCTTGGAAATTGCACATAGGCCCAGCGACAAAATTCAAAGTTCGGTAAAAACTGATATGGCTTGGTCTCCTACATGGCACTGTAGCTTCACGAAATAGTGTCAAAGACATTCACTGGGGGTGTCTTTTTACTCAGAAAACTTAGCTGAGCATAATTTGGGGGGTTTGAACTTAGTGGCACATATGAAATAGACAAAATGCCCAGCAAAAATGCAATCCGTATGTAAAAAATTATTTTTTACCACATACTTTGGCATATATTGGTAAAAAAATGGGGGCCTGTTAAGGCACAATATGTACCTTATGAGATACCCTGGAGTGTCTACTTTTACAAATGGTAGGCCTTTGTGGTTTTTTTTTGAACAGTCAAACTACTATAATACCCCAAATGGAAGCAACGGCTCATTAAATCCGTCTCTCAAAATTCTACTGTGAATACTGAAAAGGACAGGTATCCTATATGGCACTGTAACTTCACGAAATAGTGCCAAAGACATACAATGGGGGTGTCATTTTACTCAGCAGATGTAACTGAACACTAAATAAAACTTTGTACAGGAATAGCACACACCAACTTTACAAAATACACATGAGAATTTCTTTGTTATAAGTTTGTGTGCCAAAAACCCCAAAATTTTACTTCAATATTTAGCAGAGAATGGCGGTGAAATGGCTACGTAGAAAGTGTCAAAACAACCTTAGGTAAATAGCCTGTGATATCTACTTTATATAAATATATACTTTTGTTTTCTTTTATGGCTATTAAGCTTACAAGACAAACATACCAAATTCTAAAATCGCTCTACATTAAAAGTTTATTTTACTCCTTGTGCTTTGTGACCTGTAACTACCAAAAAAACCTTAAAATCCCAGACACATTATATATTCTGTAAATCAGAACAACTAAATGAATTTATTTTTAATTACTTTTCTTAACCTGCACTAATTATGCACACATTATTATTGCAAAAACTGTAAAAAAATAAAATAATTTTTTATATTTTTGCATTTTTCTGTATTTTTTTTAATAATAAATAAGCATTTATATACATATCTATGTTACATCAAATTAAAGCCCTTTCTGTCCTTTAAAAAACGGTATATAATATGTGTTGATGCAATAAATTAGTAAAATGCAAATTGCATTTGAACGTAAAAACAGCAAAAAATGCTGTTGTCATTAAGTGAAAGACAAGCTTCTGAAGCTCTGTCCTTAAGGGGTTAATATTTTACAAGTTCAGATCAAAAGAAAACGTAAGCAAAACCTTGAATTTGTGCTATATATCTGTTCAACTGTTATTCACCTTTCATATTAAATGCACCCACACTTATTATTTTGTTCAGGATAAAAAGGGCTTTTATGTCACATCAAATATTTATATATTAAACACAATTTAATATGAATAACATAAAAAAAATGTGAGAAATTAAGAGTTAATAGTTTTAGTTCTGCATGGCATTTTAACTGTGAATGTCATATTACGGTTAGCTGTTACTGCATTCAAGTACACATTTGTATTCAGCGATGTCTCACGAGTAAGACAGTACCCCCCATATACAGTTTTTATGATGTTTTGGAAAGATACAAGGTCAAATGTAGCATGTTACATTTTGCAGTTTATACATTACCCCCATGATAGCATAACTTTTGCAAAAGTAGACAAACCAAGGTATTACAAATACCAGTCTTTTTTAGTAGCCATTTAGTTACAAACACTGGCCAAAGTTAGCATTCATATTTGTTTGTGTGTAAAAAAATGCAAAAAAAACTAATTTGAACGCTAATTTTAGCCAGTGTTTGTGACTAAATGGCCAAAAAAGATTGGACATACCTCATTTGCAATACCTTGTCTACTTTTACAAATGGTATGCCATCATGTGGGTAATTCTCATTCCTGGGTTACCATACGGTCTCAAAGGCAACATAACCAATCTGGCAAATTTCAATGTAAAAAAAAACTGAAATACAAGCCTTGTATTTGACTCTGCAACTTTAGAAAACACCATAAAACCTGTACATGAGGGGTTCGGTTATAACTTTGGAGACTTCACTGAACACAAATATTAGTGTTTCAAAACAGTAAAAAGTATCACTACAATTATATCGTCAGTGAAAGTGCCGTTTGTGTGTGAAAAATTCAAAAAACTATACTTTCACTGACGATATCATTGGTGATATGTTTTATTGTTTTGAAAAACTAATATTTGTGTTCAGCAAAGTCTCCCAAGTAAAACAGTACCCCCAATGTAGGTTTTATGGTGTCTTGGAAAGTTACAGGGTTAAATATAGGGGCTTGCGAACCAAATTCTCTGGACTTTCTGCCTGGGTTGTCAGACAGGTCCCTCAAATGGTAATTAATAAAATGACTTGATGTAAAAATATTATACAAATATATATGCAGAATTTAAATATAGTTGTGTGTATATATATGTGTGTGTATATATATTTTATAGATTATATATAGAGACATATGTATTAATAACGTCATTCTAAATGTATATTAATTTAACTATACACTGAACAAAATTAAACGCAACACTTATTTTTGCCCCCATTTTTCATGAGCTGAACACAAAAGGCTTATTTCTCTCAAATATTGTTCACAAATCTGTCTAAATCTGTGTTAGTGAGCACTTCTGCTGAGATAATCCATCCACCTCACAGGTGTGGCATATCAAGATGTTCATTAGACAGCATGATTATTGCACAAGTGTGCCTTAGGCTGGCATAGTACGCTAGAGAAGAAAGGTACTAAGACAAAGATAGTTTTGAGAAAAAGAAAATTGCATCTTGGTTTGTCTCTGTCCTGAGGCGAGAATAGAATATTCAAACATTATGGAGTCAAGAAGGACCATTTGACCCATTTCATGTGTGTGCGTATATATATGTGTCATGATGTGTGCATATATATATATATATATATATATATATATATACATATACATATATATATATACATATACATATATACATACACACACACACACATACACACCTCTTGTTTTCAAGTATAAGGTTAGGAGGGTTAAGGAGGTATCATGTGAGTTTAGCTATTTTAGGTGTGGAGGGCTTGGTGGACATGATTGGTTTGTCAGGAAAGCTAGGTAATTTGAGCCATCTGTAAATGTAATGAGTACCATGGGGAGGGTGGGAAATGATCATCCAGAAATGCTACCTCTGCTTAAGGCAAGTCCTGCAGGGTTGGGTGATGTGAGTCCTGGGTGTAGCTGTTTCATTAATTGTATGGGGCCCAGGCTATAAAGGGGAGAATCTAGAGTTTGATGAGACAGATTGTGGGTGGAGAATCATTGAAGTGTTAAAAACAAAATCAAGGAAAAAGCAGATGAAAAAGAATTTAAATTTAAGGATATGAGGGAATGGCGGAGATCAGATAGGTAAAAGTCCTAAATAGGGATCATCATAAATATTAAAATGATATACATTTTGTTCTACGTGTATTTTGATATCTATATATTAATATCAAAATACAGTTAGAACAAAATTACAAATTTTTAATTATTTATTTAAATTTTTAACGTATTTACATATTTATTTTATATTGTATATAAAAAAAGATATAATTATATATTTACTCTATCATTCTACGTGTTTTGATAATATATAATTAGACAGTCTACGTGTGTGTGTATATATATATACACATATATACACACACACACTTAGATCATTTATATGATCTAAGTATATATAATTTTATTTTAAACTGTATTTTTTTTTTCAGGCAGCAGGGGGACTACCTGTCATTCCAGGCACTCCCCCTGCAGGCAATGCTATGGACGGCTATTCCGTCCATGTGATCATGGACCTTGCGATCACATTGCCCAGGAGGGCCGGAACGGCAGCAGGGGGACTCCCTTGGATCCGCGATCGCCGGAGTGGGATCACAGGCGAGCGGGTAAGTACACAGGACGGCTTATGCCACCCGCCGACGTTTAGAGCCGGGTCCCCAATGACGGCATAGCACGCCCGCCGTCCTTAAGGGGTTAACTTGTATCACTTCTGTAATTTTGTGATGTCTTCACTCGATGTTCAATATACAATCAATTTTCCAACCCATAAAATAAATAGTACAGCTTTCAAGCATGGTAATCAGACACTTATTCTTCTTTCAGTTAAGAAAATTGGCAAATAAACCTGAGGACAATAAAAGCACAAATTATATGTGTATATATAAGAAAAGGCAAAAAAACTTGTATGCATACCATGTACACTATTAAATGTGTCTAAATTTAACAAATTCATTTAATACAGATATATTATTAATATGTTGGGAACATTTACTGTTTTTCTTATTTCCTATATAAGCATTAAAAATATACCAGTGTTTGATAAAGAAACACTATAGTTACCAACAAGTTTTGCTTAGTGAAGCAGTTTTAGTATATACAACTGCAATCAAAATTATTCCAGGTGAGCTTGAGCTGGAACAGTTGGAAGCATAGTTCGCAAGTTCAAAGTTGAAGGAACAGTGGTCCTGGACGGGGCAGAAAAAGGAAGCTATCAATGGCTGTAACTAGATTTCCGAGAAGACATATTGCGCCCCGTCCAGGTAGTATAACCACTATCTTCACCTTTGAACTTGTAAACTATGCTTCCAACAGTGTCTCTAGGATTCAGTGCCTTGGCTATCTTTTTGTATCCTGTTCCCAGTTTGTGAAGGGCAATGACTTTGTGGACCATTCTTTTGAATTCACCATATTTCTAACATCCAGTTTAATGTGACACTCAACAAATCCCTAGCCAGTTCAAGTATTTCAGCTCAAGCTCACCTGGTGCAACTAATGAAGCCCTTGATTAGTTGCATCAGGTGTGCTCACCTGTACTGCATATTTCTATTTAGGGTGTTAAATGATTTTGAGACCGGAGAACTCATTGCATTTTCAGTTGAATTTGGGGAAACCACAGGAAGCATTCATTGTGTTAAGCTATTTAAATTGCTTTTGTTTAATTTGTTCATTGCAAACAGCTGAAAGTCTGTAAATTGTAACAATGTACCATATTTTCAGTGGGGATTAAATCATTTTGAGTACAACTGTAGATCATGCACCTGCACTCTAACAGTTCAAATCTCTGTCATTTACCAGTTAAATCACTTTGCTTCTACAGCGATAGTCACAACTCCCTGCATGTGATTACACAGCCTTCTTAAACATTTTCTAAAAAGTTAATGTTTACCCTTCCTTATTGTAAATTCTGTTTAGTCTAGAATTTGCAGGAGAATCTGCTAGAGCCTCCTGTATGTAATTAACAGGAAATTTACAGAGCAGGAGTTACAGGAAGTTACATCTGATTAAAAAAAGGAAACTATTTTGTTTTCATGTAGACTGTTAGTCACAGCCAGGGGAGGTGTGGCTTAGGTTGTAAAAACAGAAAAAGTGATTTAACTTCTAAAATGGCAGTGGATTGAAAAGTTAATCTTCAGAGGTGTGATCTATACACCAAAACTGTGTCATTAAGCTAATGTTGGTTTGGTGATTATAGTGTCCCTCTAATCTCAATGTGTAGTGGTTTGAATGTAAAATGTGGTTAATTTGAAAATTCAAACAGCTCAGTCGATTCGGGAACTGGTTTTACTCCAAAAGATTTACATCTTAAGGATCACCTAAATACTCATATCCATGCAATATATATTTTAATCAGGTAATTTTATTCCACAGTGTAAACTTCAAAATTTGCTACAATAAAAACAAAGACAAATATGTACTGATTTTTAGAAATGCAAAAGGAAGCCGATATACAGCTCTGTTTAACATGCTGGTTGCTCCAAGCACCTACAAACAAATGCTACTACACATTTTCCCTCTGGAAGAAGAGCATTTAAAAAAAAAACAAAAAAAAAAAAAAAACATTTGTGATCTGCATTCAAACGGAGGAATATTAAAAAAATTAAATAAAGTTATTGCTCATATAAATTGTTCTACGGGGAACCAAAAAATGTGCTGTTTTAGGGAAAGCTGGGATGGGATCTCAGGATGGTTGGTGACTTAATGTAGATCCTATTTTAATTTATTTTATCCACATTTAGGCTCCAACAAGTTTCCTCAGACAAACAATATACATCAAATTTATTGTTATTGAAGTTCGAAATAGTAAAAGATGCAGTTAAAAAAACAAAACAAAAACAAACAAAAAAACCTGAGTGTTCACAACTTTTCGTCTTGAATTGGTTGTTTTCACCAAAAATGCATGTAAAGGAAACATGATTGTTTAAAGGCAAGGACATGAGCCCTGAAGAATATCTGATAGACCTGAATATCTAGGTGGCAAGAAACAACAGCTCTTATTTGCTAGCAGCTGCAACTTTTTCATTGCAGCAGGCACACATGTAATCTTCTCTCTCAGCAGTTTCTGCAGAGATTCCAACACAGACCTGGTGGAACCAGCGATTGCAACTTCCATCACACTGTACCCAATCAACCTGTAAAAGACCAAAAAAATAAAAAATATGACCACTATCACTGTCAAAAAGAAAAATCTGATGCAGTTGGTTTCATGCCTTTTAGCTGTTCATTAATATATATTTTTTTTAAATAAAGATATGCAAATTTTACTTTAATTTTAATTTATATTACTGACAAAGGATTACTGTAGGCAGTGTAAACATATTGTTTGTAACCTCCTAGCATTGTTTCGCTGTTCAACAGCTTTTAATGATTTATTGCTAAATGAAAGTTCCAAGCAGCCCCTCGATTCCCTCTGTGTTTGGGCTAATGATAATATCTGAACTGTAGACAAACATGCAGAGACCAGATATGGAAAGCAAACGTCTGTGTGAGGCCACAGTAATGGTGACTGGAATACATTCAAAACATGAGACCTTTATAAACCCAGGGAAATGTTAGACACCAAACTGGGTTTTACGTTGCATTCTCTCAGAATCCAAGCAGCAACGGACTATTGTGTTTCAGAAACCAAATATAGCTATTCATTCAACTAAGAATAGATGCAAATTCAAAGTATATTAAAAGTGACTTTCAAAAGTTTTGTCAAAATAGAAAAACTACATATTAATGTCTATGTATTTAGAATGCAATATCATAAAAGTCCCTGTGGGTGTAATGGTCAGGTGTCTCAATACTTTTGTCCATATAGTGTACACAATTTTTTTTTTTCTGTATATACTCGTGTATAAGTCAAGAAATTTTAGTCTAACAATTTTAAAACGCACACTACTTATCCACGGGTCAGTGCTAGTTTCGATAGAATTTTGTATTTGAATGCGGGGCAATGTTGACTCCTGAACACCGTTTTTCTAGCTGGTCGGGAAGTCGAACGGGCAGGAGTACAAGTTTCAGCAGGGTTTGCGGTCTTGCGTAGCCGACTCAGAGATCCAGGCTGTCAACGATCATGTACCGCTGCCTGCGTTCAGGAGACAAGATGCGTTCTTGTATATACAAATGGCGGCCACTCAGGGAATGCTGGTTTGTGGTTAACAGCAAGGGGTGGTCGGCAGTGGTGTATTTTGGATCTGTGCTGCCCTAGGCATAACGGAACTCGGGCACCCCCTAATTTACATTTGACCCACCCCTTCCTGCCAATGACCTACACACTCACAATCACTGACCTACACACACAATGACAGGCATACACAATCACACACACATTCATTGACACACACAATGATGCAGACATACTCCCTGAGACACACACACACTGACAGGCATGCACACACACACACACACATTCATTGACAGACACAGGCTCCCTCATAGACAAAGTCAGACACACTGACAGACACACATTGACAGACACACACAGCCAGCCAAACACACAGACACACAGCCAGCCACACACACACATTTCCCCCCTAACACTCAGATTATTTTTAATTTTTATTTAAATCCACCCAGTCTCCCTACCCATTGGGAGTGTCACAGCAAGGGTGCTTAATTTATTATTACACTATGGAATATTATCCTTTAATGTAATTTGCGTAGTAAATGGCAGAGATTGTATTGTTCAGGTCAAAAGAGGTTACATTTTTTGAAGCTGGGACCCCCACAGAGGTCAGATGATAGAAGGGGTAGTGTGAAAAGGATTTTACTATATGGATGTGAAGTAATCAAGGCTCTGCAAGGTGTGAGGTTCTACACTTAGAAAAAGTCTGAATGTCTCTTCATCCATTTGGCATGTACCTTGTAAGGGATGAGTCAATCTCTTTGATATATAAATGCAATTAGCCTTGTTCCAGTATCATATCGAAAGGAAGGACAATAACATTCATATTTACCCCACAGAATAATAAAGCCTAATTTTTGTTATATTTGGAATGTGACAAGTGCCATCTTCTAACCAAGTCCAAACATGAGTGGCCTAACTTGACCATAAGGGAAGGAATTGTGATGGCCATCCTATCGGATCGCAAGGCCGGCATGCAACATATGTATAGAATGGGAAAATAATAAATTCGTAGATGCAATTATTATTTCTGTGGCGGGTACATAAGAGAAGATAGAACCAAATGTTTCCATTTGGATTGATGTGGGTCTAGACACAAGGGGGTGGTCACTTTGTATCTCTATAGATACCCCTTAAGTCCGCCTCTGCTTGAAGCGTGGTAATCCACAGGGTATATCTCTAATGATCCTGAAGGGTGCTAGTGTATTTGCTTGGGGGTCAGAATCTAATTCTAAGTGAAGTACCATCTTTCCTTGCCAGAGACCCCCTGGACAGAAGTTGTACTTTGAAAACGTGAGTTATTATGACTTTGTATTTTATCCTTTTTGTTTTTATTTGTTGTTGTGGATAATTTATCATATTTTTATATGCACTGTGACCATTTTTGATCATAATTAACATTCATTTATTAAGTTCTGCCTTTGTCTGGTTAAGAATCACGTTACCTGAAAAGACTAGTTAGTACAATATTTAAGGAATTACAAAAATACTAAGTAATTTTTGGTGGGTTTTATTGTTGATTTACCTGGGGGACCAAGGCACACCATTTATAAATTGTCTTGGTGGTGGCAGCGTTAAAATAAAAAGTTATGTTATTATGTTTAAGTGTGGGTGGTGTTAAAAGGGGGATTTTGTCATTATTTCCGGTCTAGTGCAGACAAATTGTGAACTTTAACCCTCTCACCACCACAACTACGTCACGCACACTCTTGGAGTAGGGTGCCTTCGTGACAGGGAGAGCTCGGTGGATTTTTGTTTTACCTGGGGTCCAGTGGGGCTGCTGGCCAGGCTCTTGTGGAAGACAGGCGTGCAGGCAGTCGGGCAGCCAGTTGAGGTCCAGATGGGCAGCGAGGGATCGCTGATTTGTCAGCTCTCCCTGCTCAGCTCCCTTGTGCGCCAGAGTGATTATGGGAGCTGGAATAAGACGACGGAACTAAGCTAGCTGTCTGCCACCAGGCTAACTTGGTATTTGCCTGGGCATTTGGGGGCTGGGTTTGACGCCCCCTGGAAAGTGCCGCCTGTGGTGAAACCAACCTCGCCACTGTGAACTGGAGAAGCCTGGTTGCTCGCCTGCTCCCTTTGGACTATGGCCCTGCAGGTTAAACCGTTTATTTCCCCTGCAGAAAGGCTTATTTGTGTGATCTGAGTGCCATTCATCTAATAATGTGCACTCAGATCCCAGCTATCTGGGGATATGTGAAATGTCTGTGTGTTATGTGTAAATATGACTTTATGTATTTTAAAGTGTTTTGTGTCTTTTTGCAACCATGTGCTTAATGGAGTCTTGTGTCTATCCTGGGAGATAATTGAATTACTCTCCAGGATAGAAGACTCTGAAACTGGTTTGGCCCAGAAAGCCATGCTTCATTTAGTCACAAAGGACTTTCCCTTAACTTTTGAACCCCTGGTCTGATTCGTGCCATTTTTTAATATGTTGTTCCCCTGAATGGATTGATTATGAAAATTTATGTTTTATGTGAATGTGATGTATGGTTTTAGAGTTATGAAAGTTGGGTAGAAAGTATGTTTTAACTGTATGTGTAATTGAGTTTCCTCTCAGGATAAGGGGAGGGAATATGTGGGATATAACTGTGATGTGATTGGTTGTTTTATACCTCCCTGTAAGGTGCATGTTTGTGGATTGGAATAAAGGAGCTATGTGACAGTACAGGAGTTCTAACCCTCAAAGTGAGGGTAATAGATCTCATTATTGGGAAGGATTTATTATATGCTGTTCCAGTTTGACTGCTAGGAGAGTAAACCTATTCATATGGTTCCTATTCAACTGTCTACAGCATTCATATGCTTGGGAGAATTTATTTGTTTCTCCAGTTCGGTGATTGTGGTGTCTGCCAGAGTGCTTGGAGTCCTCAGGAAGCGCTAGGAGGCATCTTTAGCAGGAGGTACTTGATGGGGGTGCCGATCCGTTACATTGGTAGCCGGTGGGATGGCGTCCACGAATGCGGGAGTAAGCAGCTTCGGAGACTGAGTTAGGTAGGATTTACCTGAGACAGCTAGTACCGTGCAGACCTATCTACAAAGAACTAGCACTTCAGCAGAGCAAGCATGGCGTGTAACTACCTCAGGAGGTTTGACAGAGAGAGGTTAATGAGGTGCACTGTCTGGGACCCCAACCCAGAGGAAACCCGTTACGGCTCGCCAGGAAACTAGTAGGAGAATACCTGCAATCTCTAGTAGATTTGGCCAAAAGGAGTCCCAGGAAGCTGAAGGTGCCATCCTTCCTCCCCAGCGGCAGTGTGTGTCCCAGGGAGCTGAAGGTGCCGTCCTTCCTCCCCAGCGGCAGTGTGTGTCCCAGGGAGCAGAAGGTGCCGTCCTTCCTCCCCAGCGGCAGTGTGTATCCCAGGAGCTGAAGGTACCGTCCTTCCTCCCCAGCGGCAGTGTGTACCCCAGGGAGCAGAAGGTGTTGTCCTTCCTCCCCAGCGGCAGTGTGTGTCCCAGGGAGCCAAAGGTGCCGTCCTTCCTCCCCAGCGGCAGTGTGTACTCCAGGGAGCTGAAGGTGCCGTCCTTCCTCCCCAGCAGCAGTGTGTATCCCAGGGAGCTGAAGGTGCAGTCCTTCCTCCCCAGCGGCAGTGTGTATCCCAGGGAGGTGAAGGTGCAGTCCTTCCTCCCCAGCGACAGTGTGTGTCCCAGAGAGCTGAAGGTGCAGTCCTTCCTCCCCAGCGGCAGTGTGTGTCCCAGGGAGCTGAAGGTACAGTACTTCCTCCCCAGCGGCAGTGTGTAACCCATGGAGCTGAAGGTGCCGTCCTTCCTCCCCAGCGGCAGTGTGTACCCCAGGGAGCTAAAGGTGCCGTCCTTCCTCCCCAGCAGCAGTGTGTACCCCAGGGAGCTGAAGGTGCCGTCCTTCCTCCCCAGCGGCAGTGTATATCCCAGGGAGCTGAAGGTGCAGTCCTTCCTCCCCAGCAGCAGTGTGTACCCCAGGGAGCTGAAGGTGCCGTCCTTCCTCCCCAGCGGCAGTGTGTACCCCAGGGAGCTGAAGGTGCAGTCCTTCCTCCCCAGCGGCAGTGTGTACCCCAGGGAGCTGAAGGTGCAGTCCTTCCTCCCCAGCGGCAGTGTGTACCCCAGGGAGCTGAAGGTGCCGTCCTTCCTCCCCAGCGGCAGAGTGTCCTGCAGGGAGCAGAGACCGTCAGTCTCGCACCCCAACCACAGGACAAAATAATGAAAGGGGAGACAGTGCCAGAGAGAGTGTCAGGGAGAGGAGCCTGATACCCCCTCTCCCCAGCGGCAGTTTACAGTTCAGAGAGAGGAGCTTGTTACACCCTCTCTCCAGCGGCAGCCTAACCCAGCAAGGGGAGATGTTACACCCCCCAACAGTGCAGATGGGACTGTAGTCTCTGCACTTACAGCACAAGGGATAGGGACAGTCGGTCCTGTTCCCCAGCCACAGAGCGGTGTATCCAGAGGGGAGACAGTCGGTCTCTCCCTCCCACAACCAGGCTCCCACCAGGCTACTTCCGTGGTAGCACTGGCATCAGGGCAGAGTACCGCTGGTCTCTGCCCACTCAGCAACCCACCAAGGCAGCCTAACAGTTGCCCACACAGTCGTGGTGAGGCACCTGGACATGGACAAAGTTCTCCTCTACCCAGGTGTAGTAACCAGTTATTGTGGGTGGGCTGTGCTGCTGTTTCTGTTTTGTGGGTGGGTTGCTGGACTAACCAGGGCACTGACCGGCAGGAGGTCAGATACCCTGTTAGTCTAGTTGGTAAAGGGGAGAAGTGTGGCGAAACCAACCTCGCCACTGTGAACTGGAGAAGCCTGGTTGCTTGCCTGCTCCCTTTGGACTATGGCCCTGCAGGTTAAACCGTTTATTTCCCCTGCAGAAAGGCTTATTTGTGTGATCTGAGTGCCATTCATCTAATAATGTGCACTCAGATCCCAGCTATCTGGGGATATGTGAAATGTCTGTGTGTTATGTGTAAATATGACTTTATGTATTTTAAAGTGTTTTGTGTCTTTTTGCAACCATGTGCTTAATGGAGTCTTGTGTCTGTCCTGTGAGATAATTGAATTACTTATCTCCAGGATAGAAGACTCTGAAACTGGTTTGGGCCAGAAAGCCATGCTTCATTTAGTCACAAGGGACTTTTTACTAACTTTTGAACCCCTTGTCTGATTTGTGCCATTTTTGAATATGTTGTTCCCCTGAATGGATTGATTGTGCATATGTAATTTTATGTGAATGTGATGTATGGTTTTAGAGTTATGAAAGTTGGGTAGAAAGTATGTTTTAACTGTATGTATAATTGGGTTTCCTCTCAGGATAAGGGGAGGGAATATGTGGGATGTAACTGTGATGTGATTGGTTGTTTTGTAACGCCCTGTGGGCTGTACTATGTTTGTGGATTGGGAATAAAAGAGACTGTATGTGACAGTACAGGGAGTTCCTGTTTTTAACCCTCAAAGTGAAGTGTCGTCTCATTATTGGGGGAAGGATTTATTGTATGCTGTTCCAGTTTGACTGCTAGGAGAGTAAACCTATTCATATGGTTCCTATTCAACTGTCTACAGCATTCATATGCTTGAGAGCATTCATATGCTCCTACGGGTCGGTGGTTTTGGTGTCTGCTGCAGTGCTTGGAGTCCTCAGGAAGCGCTAGGAGCATCCTTTAACGGAGGTACCCAGTCGGGGTGCCAGGCGATCCGTTACACCGCCCAATGCAAATGCCTGGTTTGCCTCACGACAAATACTGCACTGGTGTGTTCGGTGATTGTGAGGTGTTAACAAGGGAGACCACACAATCTGTTCGGTAGCCGAAAAGAAGGGGAACAATTTCATTCAAATGCAGGGGGATATCAGACAAAATAAGGTTTCGACCTATCCCCACGAGTCATAGCATATTTCACAATTGTTGGTAAAAAAAACTGCACTCTTCTTAAAGACTATATCGACTTAGACGAGTATATACAGTAAACTATATATGTATGGGGGCGGAGCCTGACCTCGGAGCTGCACAGACGCAAGTGCAAAAAAAAAAATCAGAGGCAAAATAGGCGGCTATAGAGCCCACAGACTCACCGGGGTGCACTTCCCACACTATGAGTGCACCACTGAACAGAATGATGCCCGTCAGAACCGGGCAAGCGGAACTCCAAGTGCGGCCTACTGGAGAAGAAGCTGGGGGGAGGCGGCCGCTCTTCCCGGAGCCGGACCCAACAAGCGACACTGAGGGTCTCCTATCCCCCCTCCTCAGGAGACGCTGTCATGCATCACACTTGAACTCCGGTACGGCTGTCACCCTCAGGCAGTATGTAACGAGCAACCCGCGAGCAAATTGCGAGCTTTACCTGGACCATCAACGACCCGCGGTTTTGGAAGAACCCGGGATAGGACTGCGCTGGACATTGGAGCTGGTGGGGTAGCTATATGGGGACACTGTCATGTAACACAGCACCACGCAGGATGCATAGCTTAGTGGGCATAGGCTGACCACCCTACTTGAAAGCAGGACCGGGCTACCACATCCCTTAGGCCTCATGTTAACCGTCACCGACCTATTTCTTATCTATAACTATGGACCAAGGGTCGGTTTAGCTCATATGGGTCCCCATCTCTCATTGTTATTTCTTTGTTTTTTTCTTGCTCCCATAGGTGGTACTGGTGGAACACAACATACAGTAGTTTAGCATGATATAAGTAGCCACAGTCCCACTTAATATAGTGTCTAGACTAATTTGAATATTCAGAGAAACTTTGTTATAGTATAGCCAAAGGGCAATATTACCAAGCATGTTCCTACACCTGTCATTAGGATTTTGTCCCTATCGATAATATTCAATAGTCACTTGTACTAGTACTAGACACTCAGCATGTAATCTGTCATCTAAAAAGGACTCATGATTAACCCTTTACATATGTTCTCTATCTTCAGTGAATTCAGTTTGTTACTTAAAAAATGCAAAATGGTGCCGTTTCTAGAGAAGCCACACAATTGTTTCTGATGTATACTCTTTAATGTCACTGTTAACGCTGTTGTGGGGTTGATGGCTGGATTGTATCACTCATGCAACACAAAAATAGAATAAAAAAAAAAATAATAAAAGAAAAAATATATGTACGTGAATGCAGGGCCAGCACTTTCTATAGGCGACTTTTCAGTCGCCCAGTGCGCCCCTTAGGAAGGGGCACCACCAGGCGCGACAACCCCCCTAATGCTTCAGTCACCTGAGCGCTCTATAGAGAGCCTCAGGCAGCTGCAGCACTGCCCGGGCCGGCGTGTATTAGGGCGTACCGGCTTGGGGGCACAAAATATGAGGGATAGGAAGAAGGGAAGAGCACAGTGCTCCCTCTAGTCAGTCCCTCAGTGCAGCGTGGCCAAGCTCTGCTCTGGTCCGCGGTACAGGAGCATCAGTTTCCTGTACCCGGCTGAACGAAGAGGAAGTGCTCAGTGAGGGGGGGGGAGCACCAAGGGAGGGGGATGAGAGCACCAAGGGACGGGGGGGTGGAGCACCGGGGGGAGGGAGGGGGAGGCACCAAGGGTCGGGGAATAGGAAAGGGCACTAAGGGACAGGGGGAGGAGAGGAGAGGAGACCACCATAGGACAGGTGGGAGTGAAAGATTATTAAGGGACAGGGGAGTGGAAGACACACAGAGAGGCTAAAGAAGGGGGGAGAAAGAGAAGCACAAAAGGGCTGGTATGGGAGAAAGACACACAGAGGGGCTCGGGAGGGAGACACAAAGGGGCTGGGGGGAGTAAGAGACACAAAGAAGTTGAGAGACATACAAAGAGGAGGGATAAGAGACAAACAAGGGACTTGCAAGAGATACACTAAAGGGGATGTAAGACGCAAAACAAAAAAAAATATATATATTTTTTGCTCCCCTCTCGGCCCCTATACTACCCCACAAACTCTCTTTCACAATACACAAACACTGCATTCCTATACATATACAGAAACACACAATGCATCCCTACACACAAACACACCATGCTTCCCTTACACACAATGCATCTGTTACACACATACAAAGAAACAGTGCATCCCTTACACACACAATCGATGCACCCCTTACACATACAAACACAGATTCACACAATGCATCCCTTACACACACTGCTTTCTATCCTTTACACAAAAACACACTTCATCCACTACACAGCCACAATGCATAGCCTACACAAACTGGTATCCCTATACTCTACATTCCATAGGCACACACATTAGATCCTCTATAGGTGGGCCTTATGGGCATACTTACCATCAGGCCGTGGAGCCGCAGACCTTGAGCTGTGTAAGGGGCCCCCAAAAATGGAGCTTTCCTCCAAGCTATAGATGTTAAGTACTTTTAACATTTCCTTGTAAGTTTTATCCTGCATTCCATAAACCAATTAACTAGTCCTTCTCTGAACTCTCTCTAAAGTATCAATATCCTTCTGGAGATACGGCCTCCAGTACCGCGTACAATACTCCAAGTGAGGTCTCACCAGTGTCCTGTAAAATGGCATGAGCACTTCCATCTTTCTACTGCTAATACCTCTCCCTATACAACCAAGCATTCTGCTAGCATTTCCTGCTGCTCTATTACATTGTCTGCCTACCTTTAAGTTATCAGAAATAATCACCCCTAAATTCCTTTCCTCAGATGTTGAGGTTAGGACTATCAAATATTCTGTACTCTGCCCTTGGGTTTTTAGGTCCAAGATGCATTATCTTGCACTTAATCACATTAACTGTCAGTTGCCACAACTCTAGACCATTTTTCTAGTTTATCTAAAGTTGCCATTTGGCCTACCCTCCTGGAACATCAATCCTGTTACATATCTTTGTATCATCAGCAAAAAGACATACCTTACCATCAAGACCTTCTGCAATGTCACTCTTTATGAGTTGGCTCCTCAACAACTTGTTTTTAGAAACAATCCCAGTAGGGAGTTTAGAATATGTGTGCTCCTGGCACAAGCACCTATTTTGGTTTTCCAATTCACATCAGGAAGATTAAAGTCACCCATGATGATAACTTCCCCCTTCATTGTCATTTTAGCCATTTCCTCAACTAGTAGATTATCTAACTCTTCTATTTGTCCTGGGGACCTATAAATCACACCTACACAAGTTACTGTGTGATTACCAAATCCTAACGTAACCCAAACGGACTCTATGTTCGCCTCACTAACTTATGAGGCTAGATTTTATGCTATCCTTCACATACAGGGCCACCCCTCCCCCTTTCTTGCCTCCCCTGTCTTTTCTATATAAAGTGTACCCTGGTATTGCTATGTTCCAGTCATTTTTCTCATTAAACCATGTCTCAGTAACAGCGACTAAATCTAACTGCAAGCATTTCTAGACATGACTCTAAGCTTATCATTTTTAACACACTTGCTACAGGCACCTTCTGTCCTTGTTTTGGGGGGCGATTGGATTGATGTTTTATCACTTTTGTGCCCCCCTCCCCCATCTAGTTTAAATACATCCTAGCAAAACCTCTGAACTACTCACTGAGAACATTTGCTCCCTTCTGAGAAAGATGTACAGTTTATTTCCATTCCAAACAGAGCTACCATGAGAAATTAAGCCAAATCCTTGCTCCCGACACCATTCACCAAGCCACAAATTAAAGTCCCTAATACGCATCTGCCTATTGTTCTGAATTTTATGCACTGGCAGAACTTCAGAAAATGACAGTGTGGAAGTAACCTGCGTTTATCATTGGCAAAAACACTAAAAACTTCCTTTATCTCTGAAACCTCATTGCAAGCCAAGTCATTTGTCCCTAGATGGACAAGTACATCCAATTCCCTTTCCTGCTTTGCTCGCTTAACAATATTCCAAATACGTCTCCTGTCTCTGTGAGCAGTAGCTCTGGGAAGATATCTCACAAGACCACTATTGTCCAGCTCAACACACCTCCAAGCCTGTCTCCACAACACCACTACCCTCCGTGCCTGAGCCTGTCTCCACAACACCACTACCCTCAGTGCCTGAGCCTGTCTCCACAACACCACTACCCTCAGTGCCTGAGCCTGTCTCCACAACACCATTCCACTCTGTGCCTGAACCTGTCTCCATAAGACCATTCCACTCTGTGCCCGAGCCGGTCTCCACAACACCATTCCACTCTGTGCCCGGGCCGGTCTCCATAACACCATTCCACTCTGTGCCCGAGCCGGTCTCCATAACACCATTCCACTCTGTGCCCGAGCCGGTCTCCATAACGCCATTCCACTCTGTGCCCGAGCCGGTCTCCATAACACCATTCCACTCTGTGCCCGAGCCGGTCTCCATAACACCATTCCACTCTGTGCCTCAGCCTGTCTCCATAACACTCTAAAAGTACTGAAAATGAATTATGTAGAGCAACAGACTGTGCCATATGCCTTTCATCCACAACTCTAATCCTATCAGATCCAACAGTAATCCATCTGCCATTCCTAGTACACGTCTGCGGCAGTGGCTTTGCAGCAGTTAAAGTCTGAGTTTGTTTACCAGATAATTTACAAATCTCAGACTTCAAAAATACAATCTCCTGCCGCAATATAGAGAACTGTCTACAGATTAGACAGCATCCAAATATCCAAAAAGTGAAGCGTGAAACAAATGCCTAACAACTATTACACTGAACCAAGTCTGGCATTTTAATGAGGTGAATAATGTAAATCAAACAAATCTGATGTTTGCACTCAGGCCTCAATGCGAAGACATCTTGCAGCCAAAGTCATATACAGAGGAAGCACTTCTGGAAGATCAACTCAAGAATACCTGTATTACTCCTTTTATTCATTTATTTTTCATTTTCCAGCTGTATTCCTTCTTACCTCCCTCATTTATGTTAGTGCTGTTTAAATGAAAACGTGTGTATCTTCCATGGGCTTATTTATTACTGTAATTCTTCCCTAATTTGGTCCCTCAGAACCAGTATTGCCTCATTACAGTCTGTAATGAATGATGCTGCTAGGCTGATTTTTCTCTCCTGCTGTTCTCATACTTTGCCCCTCTGTCAATCCTGCACGATCCCTTTCACAATACTAACAACTTTCTCTCTACACTGCCAGTGACCTTCTTCTCAACTAGATAAAACTAATCATATCCACTAAAATAACAGAAACAAAAGGTTTTTTTTCCTGGGTTCACTGGTATACAATTTCTCACTGAAATATTTGCTGCTAAAAAGGTTGATTCAATGAGAGAGAAAAAGCTAAACAAAAATTGAAAACCAAAAAGTGCATCTATAAATGTGAAACAGGAAAAAATCTATTGAGACTTAACTTTTATTATAGTTCAATTAAAAAACTATGTTCAATGGAATATAAAATCAAATATACGGATTAAGTTCCCTCTGTATTGTAATGGGTAAAAGATCCGGATAATTACAGTATATCAGATAGAAACAATATATATTGTATTGTTACTATGTGGTGATATTAACAATGAGCAGCTTAGAAGTGGAAAAGAAAAAAATATATATAGAGAGGGAATAGTAAATAACCTAATATTCGTATTAATAAAGGCTAATGTGCCTTCGAAGGGCACCCCTTAAAAAAACCTGCTCTCACAATAAGCCACCCATCATGCCCAGTCCCAGAGAAAATAAGAGGCTAAATGATAGATATCATTGGGACCAGATATCACTGGTCCCAATGATATCTACACCTCTTCCATATTACACTGGTATCGCATTATAGATGTGCTAATCTTTTGGCTAGGCTCCTTTTCACTATTTAAAGAGATGGTTGACACTTTAAATGACAATCAGATTAATCTCCAATTTACTCATGTTATACATGAGAGACAATTGGTCTTCCTGGACTTGACAATTAGCATCTTGGATGATGGACAAATTACTACGTCCTTGTATAGGAAACCTACGGCAACTAATAGTTTACTTCACTGGCAACGTTTCCATCCACACCACGTGAAGACGAATATACCTTATGGCCAATATTTAAGAGCCAAAAGGAATTGTTCAAGTCAGGATGACTATGAAAAGGAAGCCAAAGAGCTAAGAAGTAGATTCAAAAGTTTAGGTTATCCTAATAGAATCTTGAAGAAAGCATATCAAAGAACTAAAGCTGATTTATAGGCACATACGACAAACACAGTACTCAGGCATTGCAAGTGCTGAGCCGTAATTGGACATTATTACAGTATGACACATGCCTTAAAAACACCATTGCTAATCAGCCCTCGATGACCTACCAGAGAGCAAGAAATTTGGCAGACTACTTAACACATAGCCATTTAAAACCATTACAAACTACTTCCACTTGGCTTCAAACGAAAGATCTCTTTAAATGTGGGCATTGTAAAGCCTGCAATTTCATTTTACCTTCTAAGACAGTATACAAGAGAACATCTAAAGACATAGTGGTCAATTCATTTATCAACTGTAGCTCCACCAATGTGATTTATCTTATAACATGTGACTGTGGGTTACAGTATATCGGCAAAACATACCAACAATTACGCCAACGGATTCTACAACACATTAACTCTATTACGAATCCACACGTAGAAACGCCCATTGCAAAACATGTACGACTCAACCGTGCCTCTAAACCTACCGTACTTAAATTTCAGGTAATTCAAAACGTGTTTCAGAACCACCATAAAGGTGATAGTAACATTTCTCTATTAAAAGCTGAGTCTCGCTGGATCTATTCTTTTCAAACATTATACCCCAAAGGACTGAAGAGTTTAATTTTACTCCGTTCATTCACTCCTAAAGGGTTGTAGCTATAGTTGTCTTCCTTTCATCCCATTTTGACATTTTTACAGTCCTTGAACTATATGACAGAATGGTCTTTCTGGAATTGGTATAATATATGTTTACAGACCTATACACATGGATCTGATTTTAGAGTGACTGTCCATTCTCCCAAACTATAACTATTATCTTAGTTCATGTTTGGTTTACTTTTCTAATTCGGGAAATATATGAAGAATTGGTCCTCTCACAATAAGCTACATTTCTTAGAAATATGTAGCTGTACCTTTAACATCTGAATTGGTCTAGATAACATTGCTGTAATCAACCTCTGTCATTATTACCACATTGGAATAGATTTTGAAAGGGAGAAAGATTCCCTTTCTTTTTCCCTTAGGCAGACTTAAAGCCCCCTCACCAGTTAGCATATGTATTGGACTGATTATATATATTTACTATATTCATTCAGGCACAATCTGTTGTGTTTCAGTTAAAATATAGTAACATTTTTGCAAAAAGTTACTGTTACTCTAAGAAGTAACTAATATTAGACACTTTGAATACTTATTAATCACAGCTTTTTCTATTGCTTAGCTCCGGAAAAAGGAGCTCTTGCGGTTATAATTACTACTTTCCATTGTTCCCTAAATCAGACAGTAATTTACCACATCAATTTAGGTGTTTATAGTATTTTATTTCAACTGCTTGTCCTCCTACACGGCGATTTGACGCATACTGGGTTAACTGATGCGGAGGATCAGGCTCCTCCCCCCGTTCTCCAATTGGCCAATCAGTAGCCAATTACAGGAAAGGGCGGGATATTTAAATGACTGTAGATCGGATGTTCTGTTCCCCTGGAAGAGCCGTTTTTTCGGCGAAACTCGCGTCGGGACGTTTTAGTGTGAAGGGTGGTAGAGACAGACAGGGACGACGCTGTATCTGTGACCATTAGCTAGCTCAGTACCTAGCCACACTCCACTTATGCTTATTCTTTACACTCTATTGAGTTTCAGATGTATTTTTAGTTATTCAAGTTGGTTATCAGACTAGTGCAGGAGATTTGGGGGGCTCGATATTAAGGGATTGTGAGATAGCAGTGGGGGAAGTGGGCGATTGATTTTAGTTCACTAATTACCCTCTCTGCTTTACCTATATCTGTGCTATGAATCAGATACTGTGACATTTCTGATACTTTATGCCTATTTACACTCAGCCTCCTTTCTCCTTTTACTAGTTGCACCAACTTTAGACAGGATGTATGTTTCACTAAGGAGCCGCTGTGCTTTTTTTATTTTGTATCTATATTAAAAGTTATATTTTAATAGATTAGGGGTGGATGTGATCTATTTGGATTTTGCCAAGGCATTTGATACAGTTCCACACAATAGATTAGTGTTCAAACTCAAGGAAATCGGTCTAGATGAAAATGCTTGTTCTTGGGTAGAACATTGGCTTAAAAATAGAGTACAAAGAGTTGTCATTAATGGTAAATTTTCAAGCTGGACAGAGGTGGCAAGTGGTGTCCCTCAGGAGTCTGTTCTGGGACCCCTTCTATTTAACATGTTTATAAATGATCTTGAAGACAGCATTGAAAGTCATGTTTCAGTGTTTGCAGATGACACAAAACTCTGTAAAATAATACTGTGAGCAAGATATTACTTTGCTTCAGAGGGATTTAGACTGGGGGACTGGGCACTCAAATGGCAGATGAAATTTAATGTTGAAAAATGCAAAGTTATGCACTTCGGCGTAAAAAATACACAAGCAACGTATACCCTTAATGGAAGCGAATTAGGGATAACACACGAAAAGGACTTGGGAATTGTTATAGACAACAAACTATGCAACAATGTGCAATGTCAATCAGCAGTGGCCAAGGCCAGTAAGGTATTGTCATGCATGAAAAAGGGCATTCATTCTTGGGACAAGAATATCATTTTGCCTCTTTATAAATCACTGGTAAGACCCCATATTGAACATGCTGTGCAATTTTGGGCACCTGTTCTAAAGAAGGATATTATGGCACTATAAAAACTGCAGAGGCGGGCTACAAAATTTATAAAAGGAATGGAGCATATCGGCTATGAAGAAAGGTTAACAAATTTAAACCTATTTAGTTTAGAAAAACGTCGCCTGAGAGGGGATATGATAACATTATTCAAATATATTCGGGGCCAATAAAAATGTGGAAATCTATTCACAAACCGGACTTTACATAGGACACGAGGCCATGCGTTTAGACTGGAAGAAAGAAGATTTCGCCTAAGGCAAAGGAAAGGTTTTTTTACTGTAAGAACAATCAGGATGTGGAATTCTCTGCCTGAGGAAGTGGTTTTATCAGAGTCCATACAGATGTTCAAACGGCTACTAGATGCATACTTGCAAGAACAGAATATTCAAGGATATAATCTTTCAATGTAGGGTAATAACTGCTTGATCCAAGGATAAATCTGACTGCCATTCTGAGGTCAATAAGGAATTTTTGTTCCTAGCTTGTTGCAAAATTGTCCTTCAAACTGGGTTTTTTTGCTATAGTTACAGCTATGTAACTATGTAGGGGTTGCTTTATTTCAATACCAGATACCCATTGGTGTACCAGTTGTATTTATGTACCCTTGGGGTTTTCTGATATTTGTTTCTCTTTTGTTGTTAAAGTAGAGGACTCATCTGTTATATATAGAACAGAGGTAGCTCTATTGACAGGTATCCGTTGCCGCGGCTGGATATGCGGTAGTAACAGACTAACATCTATGGTATGCTGAGTGTGCTACATGAGCCTCTAACGCGCGCCTTTTGCCAGTTGGCTCATCAGAGGGGAACCGAGCACAAGTAAGTATTGGTAATTTTAAGTCAGGATATCGTTCGTAATTGGTCAAAGTGGATTTGAATTGTCCAATAATAATGGGGGAGGCATGTCTCCAACAACGCTAATAGTGGAATTAACCCTTAATGATACTTATGTTACTATGTCGGTAAATGCTGATGGATAAAATGGATGTGTATAAAGAGAATGTGTCAAAATAGAATATTGATGTGTTTTTTCACAATGTAACATTAAATTAAATTGAAATTAAATAAAATAAAATACAATACAAGGAGGATACATATTGAAAATGGGGGGTTTATATGGTTGTATGGAACTGGATAGCGAAAAAATAAATTCAATAGATAGATATCCAGTGCGTACTGAATTAGTCTAAATAATAGAATGTTAAGGCTATGATATTCGTATCATATATATTAATTGTCTTATGTTACCAGATGACTATTCATATGTTGCTAAGTTGTAACATTTAAGCTAGATTGAAAATAAGGTATAAAGTGTATTTTTGACTGAGACTTGGTAAAATTGATCTGCATGAATAGAGGTTTTTATTACTTGAATAAAAGTTCGGAGCACATTATGCTGCTATATGGGGAAGGTCCAAAAGGTACCTTCCCCATATAGTTCTATCCTAGTTCCTGAATGGTATATTAATATTATGCCGGGTTTAATTTAGACCAAAAAATGATTAAAGAAAATAAAAATGATAAATAATCATGAAAATTTAAATAATGAGTCTAGTGAGTATGCAGGAGTATAAAGGTCTTCCAATAACTGAAAAGGAATTATTCTCAGAAGTAATTGAATGCAATCATCATAGAATCATATTTGGTACATATTCCTTGATGTGGGCACTAGTAATTTCTGGAAAAATTCTAAAAATATGTGCCATAGGCATAGTAAACTACATGGCAACTATTTGAAGTTCATGATCTGAAAAAAAAACACATCAGTGGATTGGTTGACCTGTTTGGACTTATAAAGTGTTCCTATTATTCTTATTGATCATATTTTGTATGTTCATTGATAACTGTCCCCCTATTGATCAATGGAACTTTATGAGGGCTTTATTCTAGTTTTTGTTAGACAATTGTGTTTAAGAGTAGAATTGAAGGATTGTCCAGATTATTTGCTTTGAGATTGTGAATAAGCGGTGTGAAGTTGAATTCTTCATTCAGATCGTGTCGTGCAAGTTTTTTTAATTAGTGTATCCATTTAGATTCCTTTTTCAACGTTAGATTAAAGGACCACTATAGGGTCTCTATGTCCCCCCACCATCAGGGCCCCCCCCCCTCCCACCGGGCTCTACAGGGTTGAAGGGGTTAAATTTACCTCTTTTTCCAGCGCCGGGCGGGGGACTCTCCTCCACATCGGCTGAATGCACATGCGCGGCACAAGCATTCAGTCAGTCCATAGGAAAGCATTCTCAATCACAGTGAGACGCACGGAAGCGCCTCTAGTGGCTGTCAATGAGACAGCCACTAGAGGCTGGATTAACTTATAGGTACACATAGCAGTTTCTCTGAAACTGCTATGTTTATAGAAAAAAAAGAGTTAATCCTAGCTGGACCTGGCACCCAGACCACTTCATTAAGCTGAAGTGGTCTGGGTGCCTATAGTGGTCCTTTAAAGTTACCTTTCCTGGTGTTCAGATGGATACATTCAAGAATTTGAAAGGAAAGAATAGAAGGGTCAGTGTTGTGAAAGTTTCTCACATGATTTGCCACAGGTGTTGAGATGCTTAAGCTTGTAATGGAGAATTCTTCTTTGGAATTCCTAAAAGGTTTTTCCAACAGATTGGATTTTGCAGCTGCAAGTTATCAAATATACTATTCTGGTAGTGCTGCAGTTTGCAAAATCCCTTATCTTGTATGTCTTTTTGGTGTTGGTGCATTCTATTGTCTTTGATGGTGTGATATATTTCCATGCTTTACAATATCCACAGCGGTATATCCTTTTCGTTTCTGTTAACCATGTTTGAGGGGATTTTGGTGTGTCAAGGTGCCTACGGACCAGTAAGTCGTGTAAATTAGATGCACAACGTGAAGTGATGCAAGGAAATTCTGGGAGGTTATTGGCTACATCTTTATCGTGGATAAGTATTGGCCAGTTTTCAGCAAAGATTCTTAGAGACTTGTTGAAATGTTTTTTAAGGATTCGGTTTGGGTATCCCGTTTTTAAGCATATTTGTAGTTCTTTTGCTTCTTTTAGGAAAGATTCCTCACTAGAGCAAATTCTCTTAGCCCTCAAATACTGCCCGTATGGAATTCCAGCTTTGAGTTTATAAGGATGGTGACTGTTCCAATGAAGAAAATTGTTGCAGGAGGTGGGTTTCCTGTACAGTTCTGTTTGTAGTTCAACACCAAGTGTTTGTTTGATCTTAAGGTCCAGTAAATCAAGTTTGTCTTCACTGATATGAGTAAGTTGTAGACCAATATTGTTGGTATTGAGTTTGGATACCATTTTCTCAAAAGAGGATGTCTTTTATATATCGATGCCAGCGTAAAATTCCTTAAATCCTATTGTTGTTTCTATAGGAACTCTGGCTTCCCACCAGCCCAGATACAGGTTAGCATAACTAGGGGCACAAGCAATACCCATCGCTGTGCCCCTAGTTTGCAGATAATATGAACCATTAAAAACAAAGTATTTATGAGTAAGTATGAATTCCAAAAGTTCTATGAGAAGAATTGGGTTGCCCTTAGGCCAATGTCATGCGGGATGTTATTGTATAATGATACAACATCAAGACTTGCTAAAAAGGTGTATGGAGGGACCGTCAAATTTTTTTAAAGATAGTAAGGTCTGTTTGGTATATTGTATATATGAGGGTAGATCTGTTACGAAAGGATGGAGTATTTTTTCCATGAATCTGCTGGCTTGCTCAGTGAGTGAATTGTTTCCAGAGACAATTGGTCTGCCTGGTGGGTTCACGGCATCCTTGTGAATCTTTGATAAGCAATAAAACGTGGCAACTGTTGGAGTGTTAGGTAGAATAAATCTTAATTCATCTTGAGAAATTATGTCATTGTCTCTGGCTCGGGTTAGAATTTGTTTAAAATCATTTAGGTAGTTACTGAACGTTTGTAGCAGCAGAATGTATCATCCAGATGTGACATACAGATGTCAATGTATTTTTCCTTTCTCTAGAAGCACAATGTTACCCCCTTTATCAGAGGGTTTTATGATTAGATTTTTGTTAGATCTTAATTCTCTCAGTGTTGAATTTTCTTCCTGAGACAAGTTGCTGATTAATGGCATGGTTATAGGTGGTAGTTGCTCAATTTTATTAGAGGTCATTTGTATGAAGTCCACATTCATAACTTCCTTGAGATTAGGGGTATACCAACTAGGTTTTTCAAGTTAGTAAGAGATGGATCTTTATCTTGATCATCAAACATTTCCTTAGCCATACTGGTTTCTTTTCTTTTATGTAAGGCGCCTAATGCCAGTTTTCGCCCAAACAGATTGGTGTCCTTAATCAATTAAACCAATCTGCACCCAAAGTAGGCACAAAAGAGAGGCCTTTATTTAAAAGTAAAATATGTGCTGTGGTTAAATTAAACTTTGCTAAAAAGGTTGGATCAGCCCACTGTGCACTCTTAAATGTTACCAGGATTGACATCAAAGTCAATTAGTCCTATGTCTTTAGTAGTAGTTGGCCTTTCACCATTAGTTCCAAGATTGCCAACAACTAGTGTTTTCATAGGAGTTAACTGCCCATTTACAATTTCATTAAATAAATAATCCCCCAGAATATAAAAATGAAAAACTCAATCGGCTAATTTAGATATAAAACCAACTCTCCACTTTACATAACCACTCTTTGCATTTTTAAGGATATCATTTCCATCTCATGCAAGTCATCTAAAACATAGGCCAGGAAACCAGGCTTGATTTAACAATGTAACCATATTTCCTGAATCTAGTAAGCCCTGCAACACTTTCGCTTCCACAGTCATAGGAAACCATGGATGTGCATGTAAAAAGTCAGTCTTGTTTGCAGAACACACAGAGCGGGTATAAAAAAAAAAAAAAAATATCTATATCTCTCTCTATCTATCCCTGGTCATTACAAACACACATTTCATGGCTTTGTCATTAGTATAGTTCTTATAATAAAGAGCAGTGTTTCTATCAGTAGGCTTTTGAAAGAAGAAATGCCCCAGGCCACTGTTCTCGCAGTGCAGTGTTCCTTCCAGAAATTTCTTCCAGTTCCACACATAATTTTAGGAGTTCCCTCAGAGTCACAATCAGGTTCATGGAGACCTCTTTATTCAAATTAATTTAAACAATGTTAAGAAGGCTGCACAATTTAAAAAAAAAAAAAAAAAATTTAAATGTGAAAAAAAAATAAAGGGATCTGAATACTTTTTGAATGTTTGTGTGTGTATATATTATATATAAAAACATTTCATTTTATTTTCTTTCTGTACAATACAGTGTAGTGTAATATGTTGGTTTTTATTATTTAATGGAGAGCATCAACATATACTGCAGCACTGTAGAATGCGTGTGATAGTTTTTTTTTTTTATATCTGCATATGTTTGCATTTAATAGACACGCGTTAGCAATAACTATGTGGACAATTAACTCTCTTCATTCCAAAAGGAGAACTACCTTTTTGTATATCAGCAATTTCTGTCACAGAGAAAACCAGTTTAGCTTGTTGTCCAACTGGTTGCACGTTCCTAGCAAACTAGTCTCTATGGCATTCCACTACCTACTTGGTAAGGTTGCATACATATAACATAAGTCTATTGTACGGGTCTTTGTATATTTGCATACACAGTCCAGATTGTCAGTCTGTGGGCTCAGATTGGCATCAGTTGGCCAGGGCCAGCTAGTCATCACTGTGTTACCAGATCCTCATCAGTGGGCCAGATTGCTCATTGAGGCTCAATTCTCACAGGAGTGTCACAGATGCCCCAGAGGAAAGCATTTGTGGTGTAAATAGACTACTGTGACCTGCATTGCTGGTAATGATTACTGCAATTGAGCAGTTTTTGTACCACTTGTCCTTAGTATTTTTCTGAAATAAAAGTATAATAATTCATAAAAGTCACTCTCTTGAAAGAACAGTTTGTGTGTTCCTGAGCCTGTACTACCTGGTTAAGTAGTTCATGAGGCAACACTGCTATTCATATGGAACCTATGGTAATAGTGTTTGAGAGTGCTTGGTGAGGGATACCAAAAAAAAAAAAACCCCCAACATAGTGGGAGTGGATCAAATCGAGAAAGAAGAATTGTTATTACTAGTTTCAACAAAAACAAAGGGAAGCCTTGGACCAACAGATATTTATTGATCTCTGCAGATCATTGATATTTGCAGCACATGGACATTCTTTATTTTCTTCACAAATTATATGAAAATAATGTTGATAACATTTCAAATGACTGAAATATAAACATGATCCTCAAAAATGCATAAGATGTACACGGGCAGAATCTAATACAACAACGGACGGGGAGCCAAGATGGAGGTGCTCAGTTTTAGGAAACATCGGCGTGGATTTACACATTCATTTAAAAAAAAAAATGTATCAACGCTCACAGATTTATTCAACAAAGGGATCAATTACTCAGAATATTACAAACGGTTGGGAAATACAGTCCCAATTTAACACTTCCTCACCTCATCTCCTTCAGGTTCGAAGCACTGTTCTGCTGGACAAACTGCATTGTCATCATCAGACTCGGATGTAAAGAAGCAAAGCGAGTCACAGTTAATGGTGTCTTCTGATTGGGGTTCGCGGCTACACAAGTCTGTTGATTGTACTACAGTCACCCTTTTTTTGCGTGATGAAGATGCCCTCTTCATTCTAACCTCTGAGCCTCTGTAATGTCTCTTCAACTTCCGAACTGTGTGGTCAGCTTTCTTTGTTATGTAGTTTAAAACCTTTGAAAAGAAAGCATATGGTATTAACTGTAGAGAGAACAAAACCGCATATGGAAAAATAATGCAATCAAGGTGTTCTAAACATACAATAAGGCCAAAGGTTGAGTGTTGAGTTTCTGGAGGTCTCCAGATCCTTTAAATGGCATCATTTTCCCTGTTGAGTATTTAATATTTTTTTACTGTAATATTAAAAAAAAAAAAAAATTTGCATGGAGAAGTTTAACAACCAACTATTGTGGAATGCAATGTTTAACACATACAGTCTTGTCTTCTACAGGAACAATAAAATGAGAACAGCTGGAGGAGGGGTTTGCAAAAGGTTGCTAAGCCCCTCCTCTACTTTCAGGAAATAAAACATGCAAGGAGCGTATTGCCAATTTCAGTAAGGTACATGATTGAGTTGGGAGGAATTTGTGAATTAAGCAGATTCTCCAGGTCCATCAAATTCAACCTTTCACCGAAATTTCCTTCCCATGGGTGGTTGGTTGACCTCTTGTCCTTTGTATGGTTCTGTGAAACCACTACAGAGTTAGAGTGCCAGAGACTACTTGGAGCCCCCTCAATGTAAGTAGTAAACCATTTTAGAATAGTATGACTTCTTACCTGAGGTCCCATGGGCTCCACTCCCTGCAACTGCTACATCTACAGGAGAGCCAGAAAGTCTCTGACTAAGCAAAGCACAACAGAGCAGGGCTTAACACATTGCTAAGATTGATCAGCTGACTCTCTCAGCCAATGAGCAAGCACTGTATTGAAGGAGAGGAGAGCATCAGGAGAGCCAAAGGAAGCTCATAAGCAGAAGCTTTGAGCTCTAATGTAGCTCTATACAAGGCAGTGAGAGGCGTCTGTGGTAAGAATTCAAATCGTTCTAAAATGTACCTACAATAGTCCCTGGCACCATAACCACTAAAGTGCGCTAAAATTGCTATGTTATTTGGACTGTTCCTTTAATTAACAGCATACTAGAGAATTTTTGTACTGGCCCTGCATATATTTACGATTTAAGACTTTTTTCCTTTTGGAAGTTATTTTTTGTTACAATTATTGATTTAACCACTAAATAGCAAATTATGATTTGAGCAGATTTCTACAACAAACACAGTAGTCCATGCCAATCCTTTTAAATGGTTTGATTATTAGAAATGGCATAGAAAAGGACCCTAAAATAGTTGTTTTTACATTCTGGGCAAGAGGCACAATACCTTTAAAATTCCCCATACACCTTACTCCTTGTCTGGTTCCCGTGTCAAGATGTATTCCTAATAATGATGTGGTCCTCCGCCCCCGCGGGCCTCCTCAAGCATTCTAAAGGGTTAGGCAACACTTTATTCCTCGTATGTCATCTGAGGAGGGTTGTATTACCTCAATGCCTTCCTATGGGGGTTTTCTCCTGATGCTGGACATCCTCGTGCAGAGCGTGAAGTTGTCCAGCGTCGTTTATAAAGTCAAACTCTAGGAGGTAGTCTTGGTACAGCAATGTAAACATTGCAGTTTCTCTAAAACTGCAAAATATTACTTTGCAGGACTAAGTGGGACAGGGACATTGCACCCAGACCACATCAATGAGATGAAGTGGTATGGGTGCGTATAGTATCACTTTAACGGAACAGTCACTCTAAACATATGCAAACCTTGCACTAGAACTGCTAGTTTCAGTTCCCAAAGGGTATTCTCCTTTACATTGTATTGGCCTTGACATGTCCTTTTTTTCACCACATTCAAAGAAAGTTATTAGGTATCCCCTAAGGTGGTCCTTAAACACAGTGTGACCCCTTGAGTCTGTTTGGTGCAGATATACTCCAAATACAAGCTCACCCTTTTTGTTCTTTTGCCTCTGGACAAGCCAAATGAGTTCATAGAAGATTTTCTTTGTAGACAAATATATTTTTGCTTGAGCCACCATGCTAGCAAAAGACATGGGGCTTCCATGACTGACCAATCTATGAAGGCCACAGAATACTTGTCAAGCAGCAGCAGTGCAGGACTTTGACGAAATCCATCTGGCCCATAAATATCTCAGGCTTCAATAAACCTCAATTTATAGAAGCGCTGGGATCATAAGGTTCTGTCGCACCCACTCAGGCTAGAATTTCAGCCTTAAGTTGTGGGTAATATGCAGCAGCCTCTTCTTTCAGGTATTACTAAGCTTTTTGAGTTTCTCTAAGGAGAAAAGGACCAATAAGTCCTGACCACAGCTCTGAAGGTCAGACTTCACAGGTGGCTGTTTGTTCAATCACCAGTAGATAGGTCTCTGGAGTCATTTTCTGCAGAAAACCAGTTGTCCATATCCTGCTTGTGCAGTCACTCCTGGCTAGTACTATGTTCCAGGAACTTTTTTTTAGCATATCCAAGTCCACTTTTTGTCCATCACAATTTGCATGGCCAGGAATCTGTTGCACTCTTTTTTGGTAGCTACAGTTGCATGTTAGTCTGCACATTAGTAGCCTTTAGCAAGGCTTTCACAAAATCCTCCAATTTTCGGTGGATTCTGTGCATTAAGGTTTTTTGTAACAGTGGAGCCAATACAGCAGGCATCCCACTTCTTACACCACAAGCCACTGCAAACACAGTCAGGACAGCCATGCAATTGTAGCTTTCAACTGCTGTTTTATTGTCAAAAAGTCTCTATAGCACTGCCCCTTTAAATCTAACTGTTTCCAGGAGCCTAACTGTAGCTTTCCCTCACTACCGATTACTTGGCAAGCTATCTTGGCTTCCAGTTCAAATAAAGAAAGCATTCACAGTAGTCTTAAACAAGAGTTTCTCATTAGCTTGTTGGATTTATAGTCAAAGTTAACAGGTTTACATCTACACCCTCTTGTTCTTTCAGAGGTGCTATAAAGCTCTGAGTTAATTGTCAAGGAAGAGGTGAGATGGGGAGGTTTGAAAGCATAAACTCATAGTGCCAGGTTTCTGACATCCCCCCTGACCCTGTGACAATAAATATACACAAGATTTAAAATTTGTAGTCCTCTGGCTTTCAAGTCGACAAGCGGTCACTGTTACTTGCTGGTTTGGTTAGCTACAGAGGCAGACAATTGTTCAGAGCACCTACCTTGCAAAGATTTGCATTCAGCTGCATTGGGAAGTCTGTGATTGGCCAACCCAGAAAATCAAGAGATCTCCATATTTTGCAAGCAGTTTTTAGATATATACTAGAAATGAATGTACTAGTGCTATATATGTCAGATATAAAGCTAAAATGTTAGCTGCTGCTTACACAGTAGGTAACCCACTACCTACTTATCAAAACAAAAAATACATAAAGTAAGCTGTGCTTATGATCTCAGAATAATATGTGCAGCGCTAAAGGGGTTAAAACCCCATCAGTCATATACCTGAATCCAGCGCAAAGGGACAGGCTCCGCCCACGCTTCTTTAACACCGACGTCAGTCGGCGAGGGGACTTAATGCGAATGTGCGGCAACGGCCACGCTCGCATTATGGAATTATGGATGCCACTGTGCTCTTGAGATCATTAATTGCAGCTGAATTTCTTTGTAGCCTTACTAAATCTGTTGATGAAAGAAACACCACATCCCCAAAGGCAACAGACGTTCAGACTCGAGCAAGTGAGTAGAAGTTCAAGTTTTATTTCACCCGATAATAAAATCGTCAGTATAGCATAGTGGTAATAGCCAGTGTGAAGGGAAGGAGACTCTTATGTATCTTTCCAATAGCCAACTCACTGAAACACAAACAAAGTTAATCCCACCAGTAGTAGAATAATCCCAATAGATACCCGCTCTAAGGCGATCAATATTAGTCACAACAAGGTACTTGGCCAAGTTGTAAGGACATGTAGAAGTATGGTCGTGTCTTTAAATGTTGCCAATATGTGGTTAAAGGTGATTGTTTTCATTCAAATGCTACTGGCAGAACCTACAGGTTTCATCATTTTATTAAGTGCAGAGGTAGGTACATAAACAAATAAAAAAAATATGTGAAACATACTGGATATCTGAATTATGTACTAATGCCACTGTGCTCTACTGACAATTTTATTAACAGATGCAATAAAGCTTGAACTTTTATATTCCTGTTTGAGTCTGGCGTCTGTTCCCTCATTACTCTGCCTTAACACAATCTTGTCTCTGAGCTCTGTAGGCAGTCCCTTTTGACCTCATTGCTTAATTTTTTTCTTTGAAATCCTCCTACAGCTGTGAGACCTTGTATGTACCTGGTGTTTACCTTTCTGAAGCATGTCCAATTATTGGAATTTACCACAGGTGGTCTCCAATCATAGAAACATAGAATGTGATGGCGGATGAGAACCATTCAACCCATCTAGTCTGCCAATTTTCTACATACTTTCATTAGTCCTTGGCCTTATCGTATAGCTAGGATAGCCTTATGCCTATCCCACGCATGCTTAAACTCCTTTACTGTGTTAACCTCTACCACTTCAGCTGGAAGGATATTCCATGCATCCACTACCCTCTCAGTAAAGTAATACTTCCTGATATTTTTAAACCTTTGCCCCTCTAATTTAACCCCTTCAGTACGGGTGACGCTTGGGGAGACCCTTAACGTCAGGTGACTGACCCTGTCAGTCACGCGTTAAAATTAACCCCAGATCTCTGCGATCTCGGTGTTAACGTTGCTCCAGACTGCCTCTGTATTAGAGGCAGACCGGGAGCACCGGCTCGCGCTGCCCCTGCAGCTGTGCTCGCTCTGACAGGCTGTCAGAGCGAGCACATGTGCTGCAGGGACTTACCATCCGCCTTCCTGCATCTCCGGGTTCTTTGTGAAGTGCAGGGAGACAGATCACTGCTGATCTGCTTGCTGTTAAAAAAAAAAAAAAAAAAAAGTTAAATTAAAATCCCACCCCCCTTTCCAATTTTAAATAAAAATTAATCCCTTCCCTGCCAATTGATCACGGACTACAGTGATCAATTAGCAGGGTATACATTTATTTTATTATTTTAAAAATATTAAAATTGTATATTTAGCTAGCTGGGGTGGGTGGAAGTTAGTGGGGAATTGGGGAATTTGCTTTTAGGCTAGCTAGGGGTTAATGTAAAAAAAAAAAAAAAAATGTTTTAATAACTATTTTTTAAAAAGTAAAAAAAATCCCACCCTCCTTTACCCAGTTTTAATAAAAATTAACCTCTTCCCTGACAGTTGATCACTATCTACAGTGATCAAAATACAGACCACAGTATTATACTGTGATCCGATTTTTATTTTTAACCCTCAGGGGTTCAATTTATTTAATTCATTAATTTAAATATTTTAAAATGATATATTTTGCTACCTGGGGTGGGTGGGAGTTATGGGAAATTGGGGAATTTACCGTTAGTGCTGCTTACGGCTAGTTAGGGGTTAACAGTAAAAAAAAAAAGTTTAAAAAAGTAAAAAAAAACACATTTAAAAATGCTCATTACCACTACACCTGGAACAAACTAGAGAAAAAATGACCCTACGCAAGTTTCAAAATACGCCTTTGAATTACCCCAGGGTGTATTTTTTAATAAAATAGTATGTGTTTGTGGGGAAGTTTCAATAACCAACCATCTAAACTACTCCAAAATGGAACATGGACACAGCGTAAAACTTCAAAGTTAGAAAAAAAACTGAATGTGTGTCTCAAATGTGCCCCTTCAACATCCACATATACCTGACAAAGGTACATACGGGGGTATTGCTGTACTCAGACGACATAGCTGAGAAACATATGAAGTATAATACAGTCGTAGCACACATAAGGTTTGCAAAATATACTGTGCAAACTGCTTATTACCACTACACTTGGTACAAGCTAGCGAAAAAATGATCCCACGCTAAGGTTCAAAATATGCCTTTTAAAATATACTATGATTTCTTCTTTAAAAAAAAATGGTATGGCTTTATGGGGTATTTGGATTATTATAGCCTGGTAAAATACTCTAAAATGGGACATGGGCATAGCATAAAAATTTAAAGTTTGAAAAAAAACCTAAAATGGCTGTGTCCCAAATGTGCCCCTCTGATGTCCACATATACCTGGCAAAGGTACATATGGGGGTATTGCTGTACTCAGCCGACATAGCTGAGTAACATATGAAGTATTATACACTGGTAGCACACATACGATTTGCAAAATCCCTTTGTGTGTCAAAAAGGCAGAAAAAAAAAAACGCTAATTACCACTACACTTAGTACAAGCTAGCGGAAAAATTACCCCAAGGTTCAAAATATGCCCTTTGAAATACCCTGGGATGTGTTCTTTAAGAAATGGTATGCCTTTATGGTGTAGTTGGAATATGTAGCCTGCTCAAGTGCTCCAAAGTGGGACACGGACGCATCAAAACCCTCCATGAAAATTCACACTTAAAAACCTGAACTTGTCACGTCTCTTTTATAGCACTGTAACTTCACAAAATAGTATCTAGGTCATACATTGGGCATATTGTTTTACTCTGAAGACTTAGCTGAGCATAATTTGGGGGGTTTGAACTTAGTGGCACATATGAAATATACAAAATGCCCAGTAAAAATGTAATTTGTATGTAAAAAATGCCCCAAATTATTTTTTACTACATACTTTGGATTATATTGGTGAAAACATGGGGGCATGTTAAGGCACAATATGCGCCATATGAGATACCCTGGAGTGTCTACTTTTACAAATGGTAGCCCCTTGTGGGTTTTTTTTTTTGAACAGTCAAACTGTTATAATACCCCAAATTGAAGCATAGGCCCATTAAATCAGTCTCTCAAAATTCTACTGTAAATACTGAAAAGGACAGGTCTCCTATATGGCACTGTAGCTTCACGAAATAGTGCCAAAGACATTTAATGGGGGTATCGTTTTGTATCTGGTTTTGTACAGGAATAGCACACACCAGCTTTACAAAATACACACGAGAAGTTCTTTGTTATAAGTTTGTGTGCCAAAAAACAAAAAACTATTTTACTCCAATATTTAGCAGAGATTGGCGGTGAAATAACTGTGTAGAAAGTGTCAAAACAATCTTTGGTAAATAGCCTGTGAGGTCTACTTTATATAAATATTACTTTTGTGTGGCAATTTTGTTTTCTTTTATGGCTATTAAGCTTACAAGACAAACATACCAAATTCTAAAATCGCTCCACATTAAAAGTTTATTTTACTCCTTGTGCTTTGTGACCTGTAACTACCAAAGAAAAATTAAAATCCCAGACACATATATTCTTTAAATCAGAACTAAATGAATTTATTTTTACTTTGCTTAACCTGCACAAATTATGCACACATTATTATTGCAAAAACTGTAAAAAAAAAAAACAAAAACATTTTTCTGTATTTTTTTTTAATAATAAATAAGCATTTATATATATATTAAATCAAATTAAAGCCCTTTCTGTCCTTTAAAACACAGTATATAATATGTGCCGGTGCAATAAATTAGTAAAATGCAAATTGCAGTTGAAGGCAAACAACAAAAAAATGAATAAATTGCTTGTCATTAAGCATAAGACAAGCTTCTGAAGCAGTGTCCTTAAGGGGTTAAGACTATGTCCTTTTGTTGTGGTAGTTTTTCTTCTTTTAAATATAGTCTCCTCCTTTATGGTGTTGATTCCCTTTATGTATTTAAATGTTCCTATAATATCCCCTCTGTCTCGTCTTTCCTCCAAGCTATACATGTTAAGATCCTTTAACCTTTCTTCTAAGTTTTATCCTGCAATCCATGAACCAGTTTAGTAGCCCTTCTCTGAACCCTCTCTAAGGTATCAATATCCTTCTGAAGATACGGTCTCCAGTACTGTGTACAATACTCCAAGTGATGTCTCACCAGTGTTCTGTACAATGGCATGAGCACTTCCCTCTTTCTACTGCTAATACCTTTCCCTTTAAAAACAAGCTAGCATTTGTCTGCCACCTTTAAGTCATCAGAAATAATTACCCCTAAATCCCTTTCCTCAGATGTTGAGGTTAGGACTCTATCAAATATTCTGTACTCTGCCCTTGGGTTTTTACGTCCAATATGCATTTTCTTGCACTTACCCACACTGAATGTCAGCTGCCACAACTGACCATTTTTCTAGTTTACCTAAATCATTTTCCATTTGGCTTATCCCCCCTGGAACATCAACCCCATTAAATATCTTAGTAGCATCAGCAAAACGACATACCTTACCATCAAGACCTTCTGCAATATCACTAATAAAATATTAAAGAGAATGGGTCTAAGTACAGATCCCTGAGGTACCCCACTGGTAAGACTATGCTTCGAACATAATCCATTGACTACAACCCTCTGTTGCCTGTCACTCAGCCACTGCCTTACCCATTCAACAATATTTGAATCAAAACTTAAAGACTGCAGTTTATTGAAAGTGAAAGACTGCATTTTACATCCTGCAGTGAAACACCTACCACCCTCAGGTACTGACTGAAGCTTGGAAGATACTCCACATCATGTATTCCCGGATTGCTAACATATTCTCATGTTACTATAGATTTATTACCAGTTATACCTGTAGTTGCCACTGTAATTTTCTGTGCATTTAGTTTGTACTATAGTCATTTAATGTTTCTGACCAATATTTCATGTAGACTGTTATTAATATTTTGGGTGATAGAATTTGGTTGCTAAACTTTCAATAGTATATAAACACATGGCTACTAAATAATCTCCCCTCTACCCCTACCTCCTCCCCTCACTCTCCATTTCTCCTCCCCAGTTGTAAATACCTTCATATGCCTGTTCTCTCTCATTCTCTGTTATTCAGGCCTCACTCAGTGAAAAACTGCATTTTTTCTCCCCACTTCTCACCCAGGCTCCCCCTAAATATATAGCATGCTCCTCCAGCTGTTTGAGATTCTCACTCAATTACCTCTTCATTCCCTTTGTATTTTACCAAAAGCTGCTTCTCTGTTAACTCTTTCAGCCATCACCTCCAAACTACCCCTGCTACCTTTTGTCTCAAATCCCCATGGTATCCGTTAGATTGTAAGCTCACGGGCCATCTAGCCAAGCACTTTGTATAAAAGAGCTCCAATGGCTAGATAGCTTATGGGCAGGGCTCTCTCTACCTCTTGTATTTGTCTGTGTATATTGTACGTTTCTCCACTAATTGTAAAGCGCTGTGGAATCTGTTGGCGCTTTATAAATAGCAGTAATAAATAAATAAATTGATAAGCCTTCTATGTGCAACAGTGTCAAAAGCCTTACTGAAATCTAGGTAAGCAATGTCTACTGCACCACCCTGATCTATTATTATAGTTACCCAATCAAAAAAAATCAATAAGATTAGTTTGGCATGATCTCCCTGAAGTAAACCCATGTTGTCTCTGATCTTGAAATCCATGTTATTTTAGATGTACAACAATCCTATCCTTGACATGGTTTCAATTACTTTCCCCACTACTGAAGTAAAACACAACATTCGATAATTTCCAATCTTCTCGGACTACTCCTGTTAATGATTGGTTAAATAAATCTGTTAATGATTTTAGTACACCACTAAGCTCTTTTAATAACTTTGGGTGTATGTCATCAGGTCCCATTGACTTATTTGTCTTTACTTTTGACAGTTGAAACAGAACCTCTTCCTCTGTAAACTCACATGTAACAAAACGCATTTGTCCTTTTTCCTAATTTCCTTCATTTGTATATGTAAATACTGAACAAAGATATTCATTGAGGCAGTCAGCTATACCTTTATCCTCTTCTACATACCTTCCTTCTTTTGTTTTTAATCTATCTAATCCTTGTTTTACTTTCCTTTGCTCATTTATGTATCTAAAAAAATAAAAATGTTTGTCTTTTTTTTTTTTTACTGACTGCCATTTTCTCTTCTGTGTGTGATTTGGAAACTCTTATAACTTGCTTAGCCTCTTTCTGCCTAATCTTATAGATCATTCTGTCTTTCTCACTAAATGCTAATTTTTATTTATTTTTTTACACTATTTTGGCCACATCTGCGGAGTACCACAGTGGTTTCTTACATTTTTTGCTTTTACTGATTAGCTTAATGCAATTTTCTGTTGCCTTCAGCAGTGCAACTTTTAAATAATCCCATTTCTCTTGGACTCCATTTAAATTGCTCCAGTCTGATAATGACTCATTTACACATATTCTAATTTTATAAAAGTCTGTTTTTCTAAAGTCTAAACATTTTATTTTTGTGTGGTGTGACTCAGTCACTGTTCTTATATTAAAATACACTGACTGATGGGGGCGTGGCTAACCGTCGAGCTTAATGGTCGCTTGAACCCGAGCTCTGGCTACTGAGGCCGACAATCTATCACAATCCGGACGCTTAGGACCTGCAAATTGCCAAAATAAAAGATGGCACAAACTAAATCAAAGAAAAGCTCTGCAAAAAACGAAAAACTTAATTTTTTTAGCAACAAACAACAACTAGATGTCACGGAGCAGCTGCGGCCTTCGCAAGATGGCGACGCCAGCCCGAATCCGCGAGACCCACAACAAGATACAGAACTGGCTACACCAGCCGACCAACTTACCAAAAGCTACCTACAAGTAGCGCTTGACAACCTATCCCAGAAATTAATAATGTCCTGGCAACATTCTATGGACTCACTACGAAGGGATGTACAAGAGATCAACAAACGGACAACACACGTCGAGTCCAAAATGGACGACTTTGTTGTGGCACACAACGACCTTGCGAGCCATGTAGAACACTTGGAGCAAAAACTTACAATGACCGAAGTGAAACTAGCGGACCTTGAAGACCGCTCCAGGAGGAACAACCTGCGGCTGCGGGGAGTCCCGGAGTCGGTCGGGCCGGAAGATCTGCAGGCATATGTAAGAGGCCTTATCAAGGCCTATGCACCTGATATACCGGGGGAGATGTTGCTCCTGGACCGAGTTCACAGAATCCCAAAACCAAGGTACCTGCCAGAAACCGTGCCAAGAGATGTGCTCACACGAGTACACTACTACCATATAAAGGAGCTAATACTGCGCACAAGCAGAAATAAATCTGCTCCACATCCCGGCTACCCCTCAGTAAAAATATTTGCGGATCTATCTGCTACAACATTGAAAAAGAGAAAGGATCTCTCCCACCTTGCGGACAGTTTAAGAGCCAATGGCATGAGATTCCGATGGGGGTACCCGACGAAAATGATTATCTCCCGAGAGGGCCAGCTACATACCATCTCTTCACCAGAAGAAGGAGCGAAACTCCTGCAAACCTGGGGTATTACGTGCAAAGCAACAGAGAAGGGGGAGACGTCTTCCCGTCGATTGCAGGTAGAATGGAACAAGATACCTGCACAACGAGCTGACCACAATCACTGCTAAATGGAAAAGGTGACCCGCATACTAAATTAACACACACCACTCAGGCATTTGATATGCCTTGAACCTTTGGAGGGACCCTTTAAAGATCTGACCTTACACCACCCGAATCACGGCAGCGAATTCGACCAACAGGGATTACCACCCGCAAGACACAAATGACATGGCTATTACAGCAACCTCAAGAACGTCAGTGGCTTCAGGCAAATACAGGGGCGATCCCCCCCGTGAACATAGCAAACAAACTCCCAGAACAGACTAGAAAGACATTGAGGACATTGAGAAACTCACCCTTTGCAGTCTCTGCCTACTTGAGGGTTCAGGTACCGTACGAACATTTGCATTGACATAAGGGCCACAACCGCCATATCCCATTACATTTTATAAACTCACTGCTTACCCTTTATCCCCACATGACCACTCTTAAAAGGGAACGCTGTTTGCAGCATCATCCCAAAATACATATAGATCATAGATTAGTATAATACAAGGATAAGAGTCCTCAGTTGCCCAAAAGGGGATAAAAGAGTAATGGAGGGTGCTTGATGATTGCCAATAAATCACCCTGCCCACGGTATTAGGGACATGCGATCAGGAAACACCCGGACATTGGGATGCTCCAAGCACACAGAATTTTTTATAAAAAACAAACCAAAAAAAAAAAAAACCATGCCCCACATACAACCATATATCTATTACCCCCTACTACTGAGCAAATCAATGCAATGTATGTTGAAGCCGAGATAAGGGGTGCCTGAACCGCAAAAGTACGGACTATAAAGAGCAGACAATGGAGCTAAGTCGGCTCCCCATGGTGATGGACGTTAAGTGTTACCTGTTCATTGTTAAATGTAGGAATGTATTATTAGGTCTAGCTTTTTGCTGCATCGGGTTATTACAGAGCTACCTATGGATGGCAAGGGGGCTCTCCCATAGAGATCACACCAAGACATACATGGGTCACCACCCACAGGACCAGGTCCTATTCTACATAAATAGAACGGTAAGGCCGTTAGCCACCCAAACAGATATCTTGATATCTACCCCCCATGGCTCCGCAGATGGGCGCCATGACCCCAAATGGGGTAAGTTATAAAGAACCAAGTTACATCCCCCCCGACTACCTGCAACTTCCCTACCCTTCCCGTATTATCGGTACCTATGATGCTACAAAAGCTCCCTTACTATGCGACACAAGCCTACAAACGCCACCTCTGATATACGTATGGGTTAAGATAATACAGAAAAGACAACCCACAGGTTACACGGCAACGAGGTCAGGGCAACCTGAGTGGCCAGTACGCAAAACTTTATCATTCACAAATGAGTGTGACAATACAATCCCATAATGTAAGGGGCCTTAATACCCCGCATAAACGGAGAGTAGAGTACTCTTAGAAGCAGCGAAACGCAACCATACAGACATCCTGTGCATACAGGAGACGCACTTTAAACATAATAAAGTCCCAGATTTTGGTACCAGAGACTTTCCCACTCAATTTCACGCGACTCACTCCTCCAAATCCAGGGGAGTGTATTTCCTTTTTCACAAATCTCTCACGTTTGAACTGTTGCAACTCAAAAGAGACACACAAGGCCGATATCTCATAATCTATTGCAATATTAATACTATTATATACACATTAGTGGGGATCTATAGCCCAAATGTTAATCAAAGGAACTTCTTGCTTAAAGTCCTTAACAAGATTCCAACCAGGCAAAAAACCTCAATGATATTATGTGGAGACATGAATCATGTTTTACACCCGGTACCAGACACTTCCCTCGCCCAGGGCGCCCCCAGGTCAAAACTCCTCACACAACAATGCAAAAACACTGACTAAAGTAATCCTAGAACACAACCTATACGACATCTGGAGAATACAACACCCAACCGAAAGAGGTTACTCATATTTCTCCCACATCCACAAAACCCATTCTAGAATAGACATGATTCTCGTTACTGCAGACATCTTGCCAAGAGCGACAAATAGTGAGATTGGGGACATAGTGTGGTCTGACCATGTCAGTAAGGCTGCAAGCCAAATTTGACCACAAAGGGAAACCCCCGTGGCGACTAAATGATGCCCTAACCATGCATAAAGACTTCCGCACTCAACTAAGTCAAGATATTCGTGAATACTTCCACAACAACACTTTACCAGAACTGGAACCCACAACCACCTGGCAAGCTCATAAAGCAGTGGTAAGAGGGATCTTTATTAGTAGGGCGGCGTATATAAAAAGAACTAAAGAACAAAAATATCTTGATTCATTAAAAAAAACTAAGGGATTTACAAAACGCCCACTACCTAACCCCTACGGCAGACTTGGCACAGGAAATAATCTCGATCACAAAACAAATAAATGAGCTACTATTAGACGAAACGGCACATATGCTTCAGAACCTGAAAATACGCACTTATACTCAGGGGAACAGAGCCGGCAAGGCTTTGGCATCGCTCTTAAGACAGAAGCAAGCCCAATCAAAAATACCATACCTACATAATCACACAGGAGGAAAAATGCATGACCCACAGGAGATTCTAGCAGAAAGGGCCAATTTCTATGAAACATTATATAACATAAAACAGGACCCCCAGACACATCAACCGTCCGCACACGACATCCAAAACTTCTTATCTAACATCTCTTTGCCCAGCCTAACAGAAGACCAAAATAAAAGGCTTTGCGACCCTGTCACCTTGTCTGAAATCCTACAAATAATTAAATCACTTCCCCCGGGCAAATCACCGGGACCAGACGGTCTTACCAATTCTTATTATAAAACATTTAGCCACATTGTAGGACCACATTTGGTAGATACATTTAACCACATAATATCCACGGGCAAGATGCCACATGACATGCTGATAGCACATATAGTTACCCTGCCGAAGCCAGGTAAAACCCCAACTAAACCTCAAAACTTACGGCCCATATCCCTCCTAAATACAGATACCAAAATCCTAGCCAAACTGTATGCCACAAGAATCGCAGATATGCTACCCACAATAATCAAACAAGATCAAGTGGGTTTTGTTAAGGGCAGACAAGGAAACTATACAATTTACTTTACACAAAGCAACGACAGGGAGAACCCAGTGTATTCCTGTCGCTTGACGCTGAAAAAGCGTTTGACAGGTTGCACTGGGGCTTCCTGCGAGAAACGCTACAGAAAATTTCAATTTCCACAACCATTCCTAAATCTAATAACGGCATTATATTCCAAACCCTCGGCTAGAGTGACAAATGGAGGCTTCGCATCACAGCCCTTTTACATAACTAATGGAACTAGTCAGGGTTGCCCATTGTCACCACTCCTTTATATCATAGCACTGGAGCCACTGTTACAGACCATTAGAGACGAACCACAAATCACAGGCATAGTAAGAGGAGGAAGGGAATACAAAATAACAGCATTTGCCGATGATGTAATGCTATCATTGACTAACCCACAACTCTCCATTCCAACCTTTAATACTTTACTGAAGGCGTACAGCGACTGCTCATATTACAAGCTAAACGTGACTAAGACACAAACAATGAGCCTATTCACAACACCTGAGGCAAACAGCATCATACAACAAACCTTTGAGTGGAGACAAGACTACCTTACATTCCTGGGTATAAAATTCACAACTCACACACACAAATTGTTCAAAGCCAATATCACACTTCTTCACTCTATCAAAACTCAACTTAGAAGCTGGGAAAACAAATATATCTCATGGACTGGGAGAGTAGCCGCTGTTAAGATGATGGTTCTTCCCAAGCTCCAATACCTATTCCGCACCCTGCCCATACAGCTACCTACAGCATACATCAAAGACGCACAGAAAACAATTAATGCCTTCGTCTGGGCTAAAAAACGACCCAGGATTGCAGCAAATATACTTTACCTACAACAAAAAACGGGGGGGCATGGGTCTCCCAAACTTAGATTTATATTATAAAGCGGCGATAGTTAGCACACTAGTGGCAGTATTCTGCTCCCATTCCACGCCCCCGGCGTGGGTGCACCTGGAAGTGTCACACACAGAGGGATACGACATTGCAACATTAGCAGGAATCAGTAAAACTCACAGAAAAAAGTTTCAGGATATTTCCCCTACAACATCCTTAACTCTGAAAGAATGGGATAAATACACAAAATTCTTAAATCTTGATACAGAGCTACCCCCAACAATTCTCCTGCACTCCTTTGAAGTACTGATCCCACAACTAAACATTAGGAAATGGACCAATGCAGGCCTAACACACTTACACCAACTCATGGATAATGATAAATATACAGCCTTTACCTCACTACAAAAAGCGTACAAGTTGCCACCTACAGCGGAGTTCGCACATAGACAGATAATATCGTGGATAGGAAGACACAGAGGGTCACCATACACCACAGAAACAAAGAGAAATATGGAGGCATTGAGACAACTGACTCTAATAAAACAGCTGTTATCATCTCCAAAGTATATAGCAGTTATTTACCCATAAAACAGATAAAGGACCTGACTTTTATAAAAAAATGGGAATATGACACAGGGAAACAATTATCAGAAGAAAACTGGCGTAAAAGCTTTACAGCCCACAAACACCTAACTCTATCCACAGCCCAGATAGAAATGTCGAGAAAAATGCTGTATAGATGGCATATGGTACCCACCAAGCTGAAACATATTGACCCGAAACAGACAGGAGCGTGTTGGAGATGTGGTGACGACAAAGGGGATGTCATACATATTTGGTGGACATGCCCTTTCATTACAAAACTATGGAGGTCCATACAGTCCCTTATGCGACAAGTAGGGAATATGGACGTGGCATTCACGCCGGAGACATTCCTTCTACAACATATACCACGGGACCTTTCAAAATCCCAACAATACCTCCTTTTCCACATAGCCATAGCAGCAATCACAGCTATAGCCAAGGCGTGGCTTCAAAAAGATCCTCCACTACTAGACACGATTATCTCACACCTAGATAATATTAGACTTTATGAATGTACGGTACGAGCACATAGAGCGCCACAAAACTTTTGGATAGATGCATGGCGAATGTGGGACGCATACAGGCACCCCACAAAATGTGGCATATAGACAAGAAAAGAAACGAGGCAGCTGAGAGACAAGATGTAATCGCTGGAGACTAGGTAGAATATGTACACGGGAAATATCGAGAACTTATGTTCTCCCCCCTCCCTCTCCACCCCCTCCCACCACCCAGTTTTTTCCCCTGTTAGTTTTTAGTTTTAGCTATTGTTTCACAATTCACACATACATATCGGATAAAAAACAGGTACGAAAGGAAGAATTATCATAAGCAAGATAGTATACCTGTAACATCAATACCCCGGACTAATAGACAAGTTAAAGCCACAGTCAGAGGGGGTAAAGGAAAAGAGAACAATGAGTTCAAATATAGTAAGACCACTGACACTGCGATCCCTAGACATATCATTTGATTCTAATGACAGGAAACAAGACTTGGTGTTACACTTGTATAACTACTCCAATTGGCAGTGATGTATTGCTGTATTCCACTCACCGGGTATACTAGTAAAAGAACGCTGGGTTTGTTTTTTTGCACCGTGTGATACTGGAAGATGTGTAAAATTTGGACAGCATGTAAACACTGGAATTGCATTAAGTTTTACGTATGTTGAATACAGGGGATATCATTGTGACAATTGATGATTGTACATACCAATAATGTACATTTACTGTTTGTACCTCATAAAATACAATAAAAAAAAAAAATACACTGACTGATGATCACTGGATCCTAAACTTTCACCTACAGTAATATCTGATGCCAAATCTAGTATGGCCTCTTTACGAGTTGGCTCCTCAATGACTTGTTTTACAGACAATCCCAGTAGTGAGTTTAGAATATGTGTGCTCAAGCAGCTCTTTTGGTTTTCCAGTTCACATCAGGAAGATTAAAGTCACTCATGTTAACTTCTCCCTTCATTGTCATTTTAGCCATTTCCTCAACTAGTAGATTATCTAACTCTATTTGTCCTGGGGGCCTATAATCAAAGTGTAGAAATAACTCAAATATGGTACACATGGGATGCATCTAAATTAATTTTCAAGTGTCATAGCAAAGGGTCTGAATACTTATTTCAATGCAATTTTTTTTCTTCTTATGAATACATTTTCAAAGATAATCCTCTTGCATGTCTAAATAATTAAGAACGCAACATAACTGCTACAATTAAATGTCTGTTTAAAAACGACGGTACAGATTTTTAAGCTTGGTTGTTCAACTGGTGCTTAATTGACAATATTTTTAAAATAGATTGAACTCCTGTAAGATCAACATTTGGAAACCTCTAAACAGTAGTAACAATGTGGTTTGGATTTTACCTCACACTGTGCTAGGTTCCTTTCTGTGCCTTGCTGTTTTGTGCTTCCATTTTCAAAACCAACAGCAGAGACAGGAAGGATACTCTCTGCCACTGAGTGATTAGGTTGTGTAAGGATGGCCTGATAAAGCTCCTGGACTTCAGGAAGTGAAACTTGTAGAATTTGAGCTTCCATCAGTAACTCATCTAGTTCAGAAGTTAAACCTGAGAAAACAAATATATATATAATAGCAGTCAATGTTTAGACCTATAGGATTTGCATAAAAAAAAAAAAATAAAAAAAAAAGAAAACCATACCATAACGCACATAAAGGATAAGTTGTATCAACAATAATTAACTATATGATTTAATATATAAATTGAGGCTTGTTCACATGCTTAAACTAGAACAGGAAGAAGATTTTACAGTAAAACGTGCTTAAGTAATTTTAAAGTAGGCAAAGAGTGTTAAAATATTGATATAACTACAATATTAGATGGCTACCAGAGGTGCTTCCTGCTTTTTAGTGTCTTCACCCTCTGCATGGAGACACTGAACTTTCCTCAGAGATGCATTGATTCAATGCATTTCAATGAGTAGATGCTAATTGGCCAGGGCTGTGTATGGTTGCAGGGGTCGCAGTTGTGACCGGGCCCGTCACTCCAGGGGCCCGGCCGCCCTGCGACTGGGTACCAGTTGCCACGTTTTGCGGCAAACCACCAGGGCCGCATATGGAGGAGTCCATCGGGTGGCCCATGCTGTCAGGGCCACCCGATGGATATGGATTTTCAGGGGGCCTGATCAGCGCTGGGCGCTTCAACAGAGCGACTGGACCCCCTGTGATTACATCACAGAGCTGGGAGGAAGCAACTCCCCGGTCACTCCTCCCAGCTATCAAGACCAGCGCAGGAGGAAGGATGGGGAGGTTTTAGCCATCAGGCTAAAACCCCCACTGGACCCCAGGGAAAGTCACAAGGTAGGAAACATTTTCTCTGTATGTGTCTCTGCAGGTGTCTAGGTGTCTCTGCAGGTGTGTATGTATGTTTGTGTGTGTGTCAGGAGGGATGGTGGGGGCATGGATCGGGGGAGAAAGGGGGGGGGCCCACGGATCAGTTTCCCACCGGGGTCCCATGGATTGTGTGTACGCCACTGGTAATATTGTTATGGAAAAATGTTCTTCAGAAAGAATACACTCCAGATTTAAATTGTGAAAATTATTCATCCTAGCCACAACAGGTCGATCCACCAATGCAAGTGGCTTTGTCAAGCCGCTTTACAATGGCACTCGCATTGCCAAAATACTGGCTCCAGCTGTTATGGCTTGGATGAATACATTTCCCCATTGAGAAGCTAAGTGAGGATTATATTAATTTCTAATACATTTCATGCCAAACATTGCTAAATAAAAAGTGCCTTGCTACAAATTGAATTTTTATTGCAGAAAAGCAACCGCAGACATAAAAAATAAACCTTTAGAAAAAAATGGTAACAAATGCCCTGTGGAAGACGTACAGAGTTGTTTAGCTGGTGCCTTATCACAGTAAGAGTGGACAAAGAATACCTAAACAGTAAGTGAAATTGCATTTAGCACAATGTTAATGGGACACTTTCTCACGTCTTAGAACTGACAGCAAAGGGAGCGGTCAAAGGGAGCGGGCCAGTGAAGCAATCATTATTTGTGCTCCATTCCAGATTTAGGGGAATATTTACAGAGATCCACTGTTGATTTACAGGTTCAGCTGAGGAGACCATAAGCACCTGCCGCCCTGTCACTGGCGTCGTCCAAAAGGGCAGACAAGCCCAGAATGTAAGCATGTCCAACTGAATCATTGGCAGTTCAGCCAGGTGTGAATGCACGCCAGGTTGCCTACTAATCAAGCAGGATGGCCTACTGAGGGCAGACCATTCTGGAAGCACCACTTTAAAAAAATTTAATATGGTTTTACATATAAGGACATAATCATCTGTTCTCTTGCAGGTCTTAAAATGAGGTAAATACAACCTCAGATGAACAACAATATATTATATAATACACTATGTCATGGTCTATTCAACAAAAATAAAGCCAAAATGGAAGAACCACGTGTGAAAAACTTAGTACACCTTATGATTCGATAGCTTGTACTTGGCAGTAATAACTTGAAGCAATCATTTTCTGTATGACTTCTATCATAATTTTGTCAGGATTACAATTGATCACACTTAGGAATAAGGACAACGTCTAACTGGACCTTGGAAAGGCCGGACTCAACATACCAGAGAATAGTCGAAATACTAGCCGAGGTCAGGAACAAAGAACGAAAACACAGTTACAAGGAATAGCCAATAGTCAGGGATACCAGAATTCAGGGAAGTCAGAACAAAGCCAAAGTCAATAACCAAAGAAACACTATCAGGAACACACTTTTGGATAACCAGCAAAGGGAAACCACGACAGGGCAATGAGTAAGTTTAAATATCCCTCTTGTGAATCTGATTGGCAGTATCCGGCCTTTGACCCCAAAAGGAGCGCGCGTCCTCCTTGATGTCACCCGCACGTCGACACCAGCGTGGGCAGACGTGGGGCTACATAACAGCGTGGATCTGCAGCGGGTGGCGTCCACCGGCATGCCGCAAAACCCCGGCCTTATGGCATAGGACTGCCGAGCAGTATCTCTCCTATTCCTGGAAAGGGGATTTATTTTGTGCATAGCATATGGAGAGGATGTATACGTGACAACTATCAGTCTCTCACATTGTTGTGGAGGAATTTTGTCTCTCCTTTACAACGTTGCTTCAGTTCATTGAGGTTTGTTGACATTCTCTTAGGGTCCCACCACAGCACTTCAACTAGGTTGAGGTCTTTGACCGGGCCATTGCAACACCTTGATTTTTTTTCAGCCATTCTGTTGTAGATTTGCTGGTGTGCATTAGGGCCAAACATCTCCACTTTGATTTTGTCTGTCCAAAGGACATAGTTTCATAAGTCTTCAGATGCAACTTAAGCCGTGCTACCATGTTCTTTATTAGATAGAATACACTTTCTCCTGGCATTCCTTTCAAACAAATCATACTTGTTCAGTATTTTTCTAATTATATAGTGCAGCTCTCAAATTTGAAGATAGGGACTTACCCTCAAAATTTTAATGGTTGCTGATACATGTAAGCAAACAAACAGAAAAAAATTTGATTGAGTTTATAACACATATTGACACTAATAAAGTGAGTGTCAATATTGGTTATAAACTCACCACACTATAATTTTTTTTTGTTTATGTTTGCTTACATTTATCTGCAACCATTGCAATTTTGAGGTTAAGTCCCTATCGTCAAATTTGAGACCTGCACTTGGACTTTATATATTCGGTAGAGGTGTATCACCTAAATATACGGTTAGTATTTGGTATACTATTTGTCTGTTGGGTTATTGGGTGGAGTATCCATAGAGTGTTTGCAGCAGCTATATAAAATACAACCACTAAAAATAATTAAACCACCATGTATTTTCACACTGGTTTCAATATTTTTCTAAGTATACTGTCATGAACTTTTAACATGCTTACTGAGGCCTGTAGAGACTGAGACTGATTTTTTTGTTGTTGTAATTTCTCCGAGCATGCCACAGTCTGGTCTTGGGGTGAATTTGCTGGGATGTCCAACCCTGGGAAGATTGGCAACCCCCTTTAAAATGTTTTCCACTTTTGAATAGTCTTTTCCATTGTAGAATAATGGACATTAATTTGTTTGGAAATGTCCTTATAACCTTTCCCAGTTTGATTGCTGATGTATTTCCTGCTTGTAATTGTGCTAACACACACACCTAAAAGCTCCAAACCAGCAAACTGCTAAAAGTAAGCTTTTATAGATGTGGTCACACTTGCTGATGATCAAGTAATCAATGGGCAATTGATTAGCAGCATCTCTTAATTTCCTATGAAAGCGGTAGCATCTGTGTACTTAATTTTACACACATGGCTTCTCCATTTTGGCTTTATTTTGTTAAATAAATCATGACACTGTAATAAGTCATGTGTTGTGCACCTGAGGTTGTATTTACCAAATTTAAGACCTGCCAATGAACAGATGATTTCTTATGTCCCGATATGTAAAACCATATAATTAAGAGAGTACTTTCTTTTTGACGGACTGTATGTGTGTATGTATATATATATATATATATATATATATATATATATATATATATATATATTACACAAATACATATATACACATATATATACACATATATATATATATATATATACACACACACACAAATATAGTCATGTTAAAGAACAAACACCCTCTTTGAATTCTATGGTTTTACACTTAAGGAATAGATGATTATGTCTTGAACAGGTCTTAAAATTTGGTCAATAAAATCTCAGATGAACAACAACAAATAACATACTATGTCATGATTTATTTAACAAACAAAGCCAAAATGGAGAATCAATTGATTGACAGGAGAGAAGAATAGTCCTCCCACAGGCAGTCCTTCTGCTCTCCACCCATAGCAACCACAGTGCATGTGAACTGTTTGGAATGAAAAGTGAATTTAAAATTTTAGACAGATTACTTTGAAAAAGCTTTGTTTTTGGCTTTGCTATTTTGACTTAAAACTTTAAATTCACTTTGAATTCCTGATAATGCAAAATAAGTTAATAAACTTGTTAAGAAAAAAAAAAACAATATCCAAGTATCACGTCTCTCTAGCCTTAGAAAGTGTGTTGTCAGGACTTCGACATGATGTCCCTGTGTAACTTTATGCCCACAAGGGGTGAGATCGCCCAAATCTGGAATTCCCCAACAGTAAAAGATTTTAGAAATGATACATTCACAGTGCCCTACAATGCAAGTTTACAAATCAAAGCAGCATAAGAAACTTACAGGTCAAGGGGATGCAGTTTCGTCCAGAAGAAAAGGGAGACTGGACATAAATAGTTCTGTTGTCCCACTCATGCGGTAAAGAAAATGAAGTGGCTCCAACATTCTGTGACACCTGCATGACAACTTTGATTTGAGTAAAAGGACACTCCATTTGTTAACAGAACAATATATTTTCCAAACATATTCACAGATTTATTGATCAAGCAAGAACAAAATTACCCTTGCATATTTTTTTGTTCTTTATTAATACTAAACCTAGAGCTAATTTCCTCGACCTCAACCAATGATACTTACTTTGTCCGTTTCTTCCATTTGCCCAGCTGTTGCCTGCCACTTGTTGTACAAGTGGCTCGATCTGACCTTTTCTTGCACCGGTTTTAGATTGCCAGATGATAACATATATTGGGCCCGATGTTGCCAGTTGACTGTTCTCTCTATTAAGTAACGCAGAGCATCTCCCTCAGGTAACCGTACACGCAAACGCTGTAAAGATGCCAGTAGCGGCAGGATTTTCTCCAGCGGAGGTTTCTTTGAGCGATGGCATTGAGGGCACAGCCAGACCTTTGGTCCATGTGGAGGGGATGTAATGCAGTTAAGATGGAAGCAGGCACGGCACAACTCACATTGGATCATAGGAGCAACAGGAGGCCCTTGGCATAAACACACCTTCCAATCGTTTTGATCCTTGTTGAAATGAAGTCTGTTCTCATTACAAACCCGCAAAGCGTGCAAAGATTGCATTTCGTGCAATCGGGCCTGATCCAAGGTGGACATCTAATAGGACACATATTGAAAAAGCAAAAGAAAATGTCAGAAAGAAAACTAAAGGACTACAAAGTCAACACAGTCTTTCACACACCTTAAGTTTGGTGATCATAGATTAACTTACTGCACTGGCAGTATCACTGTTTTCATTCAGAGCTCTCTCTAGCTGCTTCAGTTCATCTGGTTTTGAATATTTTCTTCTCCCTCCATTACTGGTCAAATCCTTTATCTTCCTTATTTTTCTTTTTAAAGAAAATGTTCTAAAATCACAGCGAGGACAAAGTACCTAGAACAACAGACAAAGTGAAATGGAAAAGGTCATAAATATATATATAAAAACAACTCAAAAAATATATTTAACCTGTTAAGGATGCAGGGCAGCACGTAGAATAAGTAATCTCAGATCACTTCATTACAGCACTTGTGAATGGAAATCCACACTGGAGTTGAGCAGCCCACAACAGCTATTGCAGTTCCTGCCCAGCCAGCCTGGTCCCCACTGGACCCCAGAGAAGCCACCCATATTGCTAGATATACACAGAAATGCAGAATAGCCCTCCCCTCATACAAATAATACGCACAGCCCACACACCCAATGTGCACAAACGCAACACCAATTACAATCCACATATATGCACAAACCCCACATGCAATACTCCAAACAGCCCACACCTACACACCCCACCAAACACACAATGTGACATATCCACACACAATTCTGCAAGCAGCCCCCATACACAGCCCACATTCATATGTACACGATACCACAAACTACTCATTAACATATACAATATAATAGCTCACACACACACACACACACACACACACAAATACAATGCTACAAAGCAACTGCAGTATAAATAACACAATATTTTAGCAGGTTGCTTATTCCAACTACCCCAAAAAGGCAAACTATTTCGTAAAGAAGACACCCAAGGGTATTTTAAAAGGCATATTTTGAACCTTATCGTGGGATCATTTGTCCGCTAGCTTGTATCAAGTGTAGTGGTAATTTGACACACACACAGTGAGTTTATACTGTATATTTTGCAAACCTTATGTGTGCTATGTGTCTATAATACTTCCTATATTGCTCAGCTATGTCATCTGAGCACAGCAATACCCCCATATGTACCTTTGCCAGGTATATGTGGACGTTGAAGGGGCACGTTTGAGACACAGGCATTTAAGTTTTTTTCAAACTTTGAATTTTTACGCTCTGTCAATACCCCACTTTGGAGTTTTGTTTTTTTAGTAGGTTGATTATTACAACTACCCCACAAAGGCATACTATTTCTTAAAGAAGACACCCCAGAGTATTTCAAAAGGATCATTTTCTCGCTAGCCTGTACCAAGTGAAGAGGTAATATGCAGTTTTTACCTTTTTTTTTTTTTTTTTACTTTTTTTTACTTTTTAAAAGTTTTTTTAACTTTTTAAAAAACTTTTAGCTTTTAACAACTTTTTTTACTATTTAAAAAAAAAAAACTTTGTTTAAACTTTTTAAAAACTTTCTTTACTGTTAACCTCTAACTAGTCTAACTAAATCCTCTAATTTCTTCACTAGCTTCTACCCACCCTAGCTAGATAAATAAAAATGTTACAAATATTTAAGTAACTAATTAAATAAATTTAACCTCTGAGGGTTAAAAAAATAAAAATAAAATAAAAGTTAACCTTGAGGGGTTAAAAAAAAAAAAAAGAAAATCAGATCCCAGTGAAATCCTATGCTCTTTATTTTGATCACTGTAAACAGTGATTAAAGGGCAGGGAAGGGGTTACAGTTTATTTGAAATGAGTGAGGGGGAGTGGGATTTTACAACTAACTTGTTTTTCTTCACAGTGAGAGTTTCCCTGCAGCACATGTGATCTCTCTGACTGCCAGTCAGAGTGATCACATCGGCTGTGAAAGTAAAACTGCCCACAGCAGTGTGCCTGAGACACGAAGACACACTGTAGAAACATTAACCCCACGACTGTCATAATTGTGTCAATCTGGGGTTAATTTTAGAGTATGATGGACCCATGGCGTTTCATGCAGTTCCACACAATAGCCTAGTGCTCAAACTCAAAGAAATCGGTCTAGATTGAAATTCTTGTTCTTGGGTAGAACATTGTCTTAAAAATAGAGTACAGAGAGTTATCATTAATAGTAAATTTACAAGCTGGACAGAAGTGGTAAGTAGTGTACCTCAGGGTTCTGTTCTGGGACCACTACTATTTAACATATTTATAAATTATCTTGAAGAAAGCATTGAAAATCATGTTTCAGTGTTTTCAGATGACACAAAAAGTAGTACAATGTGAGCAAGATATTACTTTCCTGCAAATGGAATTAGATAGAATGAGGGAATAGGCACTCAAATGACAAATGTAAAGTAATGCACTTCGGCATAAAGAATGCATAAGCAACTTAGACCCTTAATGGAAGCGAATTAGGGATAACACACGAGAAGGATTTGGGAATTGTTATAGACAACAAACTAGGCAACCATGTGCAATGTGAATCAGCAGTGGCTAAGGCCAGTAAGGTATTGTCATGCATGAAAAAGGGCATTCAATCTCGGGATGAGAATATCATTTTGCCTCTTTATAAATCACTGGTAAGATCACATCTTAAATATGCTGTGCGATTTTGGGCACTTTTTCTAAAGAAGGATATTATGGTGGGCTACAAAATTAATAAAAGGAATGGAATATTTTAGCTATGAAGAAAGGTTAACACATTTAAATCTCTTTAGTTTAGAAAAACTTCGCCTCAGTGGGGATATCATAACATTATACAAATATATCCAGGGACAATAAAAGCCATTGTCTGGAAATCTATTCACAAGCAGGACTACATAGGACACAAAGGTTATGCGTTTAGACTGGAAAAAAAGTAGATTTAGCTTAAGGTTTTTTTACTGTAAGAACAATAAGGATGTGAACTTCTCTACCTGAAGAAGTGGTTTTATCAGAGTCCGTACAGATGTTTAAATAGCAACTAAATGCATACTTGCAAAAACATAATATTCAATTATAAAATTTTATATAATAACTGTATGGTAATAGCTTCTTGATCCAAGGATACATCAGACTGCTATTCTGGGGTCAAAAACTTATTTTTATTCTTAGTTTGTTGCAAAATTGTAAGTGCTTCAAACTGGGTTTTTTTTTGCCTTCTTTTGACCAACAGCAAAAAACAGATGTGAGAAAGACTGAACTTGATGCACATGTCTCTTTTTAGCCCATGTAACTATGAATAAGGGGAGCCAGGAATCAGGGAAGCTGTAACTAGATGGGAGGTGGGCACATGGATCAGGTGAACGGTCAGTGGGTAGGAGACATACATGGATAGAGGGAGCTGTTGGGAGAGCAAAGATCAGGCGAGCAGTCTGTGGGCAGGAGGGGCACAGGGATAAGGGAGCTGTCAATGGGTGGGGTTGCGTAGGATTAGGTGTGTGCAGGGTGCCTTGAATGCCCATTTATTATCTATGTTGTTTAACCCCTTAAGGACCAAACTTCTGGAATAAAAGGGAATCATGACATGTTACACATGTCAAGTGTCCTTAAGGGGTTAATAAAGACAGAGCTTGGAAGCTTAAGAGAATGATCAACACGGATAATAAAACAAGAAAAGAAAATAATCCAAAACTGCTACACAAAAGTATATATTTATACTTGTAATAAAAAAGTGCATACCCTGGCCTATATAATTAAAGGAACACTATAGGGTCAGGAACAAAAACATGTATTCCTGACCCTATAGAGTTAAACGATGTAGCCCCCTGAACTCCCTTTGCCTCCTTAAACATAGTAAAAGCTTATCTTTATTACAGTCTGCTGCTGGCTCTGCCTCTGATCTGCCTTCTTGGCAGACATCATCAGATTGTCAAGGAGGCAGATCAGTGGCAGAGCAAGCACAAGCCAAACACAGCCCTGGCCAATAAGCATCTCCTTATAGAGACGCATTGAATGAATGCATCTCTATGAGGAAAGTTCAGTGTCTCCATGCAGAGGGTGGAGACACAATGTCTCTGCCCCAGGAATGACCTCTAGTAGTCATCCGATGAGTGGCCAGTGGAAGTGTCCCTAGGTTGTAATGTAAATATCGCATTTTCTCTAAAAAAAAACAAAACAAAAAAAAAACGTGTTTACTGCAAAAAGATTGAAGGGACTGACTATACTCACCAGAACAAATACAATAAGCTGCAGTTGTTCTAGTGACTATAGTGTCCCTATAGTTGAGAGCATTTTGACACTTTACCATTTTATCATAAATCTAGGTCAAAATTAGTTTTTATTCATCCTACCTATAATATCACCCTCTAATCCTTGTCCTAATCCCACCCCATATTGCCACATCTCAATGGATTCCCTCTGACATCGGCAGAGGGATTTCCTTGCTCAAATCGTACCAATGGCTCACTGAGCCATCTGTGTGACTGCAGCACCATGCAGAAATCAGTGCGGGGCTGCTGGCAGAGGCCATCACCGATCCTGCTGCATGGTACTAAGCAAGAAGAAACTTGGGTGGAGGAGGAAGAGTGGGACGACAGTGATTTTTAGCATTACTGCAGTAGTGAAAATATGATACCACAGCATTTGAAGGGGGAGAAGGAACAGACATAATTAATAGTGGAATTATGGTGTAACTGAATCCCCATATTTGTTTGTCAAGATAGGGGATTTTAAATAGTCTTGTAAAATTTAAACTGTTTTCTTATTTTTGTGTGTGTGCGGTTCTTTTATCTGTATTTTGTATATATTTTGGTCTTTATGGCAGCACCCCTACTTAGAAATGCAGATTCCAGGTGTGCACCTAATTCCCTTTTTTCCCTCTGGTGATCTGGAATCCAGAGCAGATTCCTACTGGGCAGAGCACCTCACCCATCTACTATAGGTACCCTTTAGGAGATGACCACAGAAAAGCATAAATAAACACGTCTCTGGTAGCAGTTTAAGCAAGTATTGCAATTTCGCATGCGAATCTCCCATGTTAAAAATTAATGTAGGACCCATCGATATTGGGGCACTGTGAAGTAGTGGGCTTAACACAATTTGGCCATATGGTGTAACTGAATCCCAATATCTGGTTTCTGAGATAGGTGATTTTAAGAAGCATTGTAAAATTTGAGTGCTGTTCCTTTATCTGTATTTTATTTACTGCAAAAGTGTCAGTGAATTTCCCTGCAAGTGCCCCTGGAATTTTTTCAATTGTTGGCAATTATGCAACTCCAGATTGTCATTGCCTTAAAGGTTTTGGACTTCAATTGACCTCAAGAAGAAATTCCATTTTGTGCCTCACCTCAAGCAGACAGTATGGTGAATTTGGTGTTAAAAAGGTATTGGTTGCACAATCAGTCCACGCATGTATTTCTTCCACCAGGGATTCAAGCCTCGGCAAAGGGTCTAAATCAACAGGAATTGCACGACCTTGAGTCACCAACTCCACCAAAGTGTCCAGCACAGGAACTTTACATCCAGCCTGAACAACAACAAAAAATAAGTAAAAGAAAATAGAATTTTCCAGTTTAGAAAAGCATATTTAAAATTAATTCTCTTTTCGTATTATTCACTTCTCTGGATCATCAATGACCTGCAGTGTATCCACTTTCCGCAACCATTCTTGAGCCCTTTGCACAGCATCTTTTAGTAACTCAGCACTAGGCAAAAATGCTGTGATTTTCTCCACTTCTAGCAGCGTAGCCGTCAAGTAGCTGAGTGGATTTCGTGGTCTGAAAGAAAGAAAAAGGTGAACAAAAAAGAAAAGAAAAACACGGAGGTCACTGTGCAAATATGAACTATTAGTACAAACGCAACAATACACGACTAATGTGATTACAAATATAATAAAATAAAATAAATTTTTGTTAAAGGGAATTACAAAGTAGAATGTCCATTGTTTGCTACTAAGCACCTTGTTCTTCAGGCTGAAATTCTCAGAGAAACCTGGTCCTAATGTTCTGAACAAACTGTGGGCTTTCAAAAAAATAAAATAAAAAAAATAATAATCCTGAATAGCATAACTCTATAACTGGGAATAATAAGGGAATTCCTCTGCTGAAAGCTTTAAGGGAATTCTTCTACTGACATTTAACACTTTAAATGGTTAGGACTGAGATTATAATTATGGTTATCATTAGGGTTTGGGATAGGATTAGCAAGGATTAAGGTGAGGTTTATGATTAGATTCAGGGATTAGGATTTGCTTTATAATTAGGGTTTGGTTTAGGATCAAAGATTTAGGCTTAACTATAGATTATTCATTTGCAAAGGTATACAGATGGGGTATTGTTGCACTCAGGTGATGTTGCAAAGTATAGCAAATATATTATTACAGTGGGACACATGATAATTAAAAATGAAGCTGAAAAACACAATATGCATGCAAAAATTTAAATTTATCACAGATTTTGGGAAAAAATGTGACAAAAAGGTCATTTCATTCAAGCTCAAAATATCATGTAATAGTCCACAGGGTGGCAACCAAATGGTATGAATTTATGGAATCATTTAAATATGTGAGATCGTAAAATTAACCAAAATACAGGTTAGATTTTTTTGTGCCTTTGTGTATTTGCTTTTAAAAAAATTGAGAATTTATATGTATATGCCACATCAAATTAAAGCTCCTTTTTGTCCTTTTAAAAAAAATAATACGCAGTATGTGTTGGTACAATAATGGAGAAAGATTGATATTGTAGTTGAACATACATAGCAAAAAGTTGAACACATAGCAAAAATTGCTTTCGTCCTTAAGTGAAATACAAATTTGTCTAGGTCCTTAAGGAGTTAAAAATGAGGCACTAACCTGGCTTTAAGCAAACGTTTACAACGGTCATCCCAATGCTCACACATTGTGAGCATCTCTTGTAGCTTAGCCATTGCCTTCTCCACAAGTGGATGAGGTGCCAGCCCTACTCCCAAATCAATAAGCCTCCTCATAACATCCACTGTAAGCGATCCTGGCTCCTGCCATGCATGCTCTTGTTCTTCAAGCCAGCGTGCCTGTTCCAAACGTTCCCAAAGTTTTTCCAACGGTAAATCAAGGTCAAACTGGAAACTGGAGTCAAGAAGCTGCTGCAGATCCCTTGCTCGAGGCATCTCAGCAGTCAGCAGTATGTGGCTACGCAACTGGAACTCATCGACACGTGTTTGTAGATCCTTTGGGTGTATAGTTATAAATGAAGGAGAGTTAAATGTATTACCGATGAAATGTAGTGTACGTGAAGAAAATTAAAAGATGAAATGTGAAATCAAATCAAGGCACAAAAATTTAGAAAAGGTTACAAGAGTGGCGGTGTAAAGCTAGGGGTAGCATCTCATCAGTACCTTGAGTTGAGGTGCTTGGTTGATAATACAAGGAAAAGAATTAAGCTGCTTTACAAAGGACCTGAATTCTGCAACAGTGAGTTGGTTTGATGATTTTCCACCTCCTGACCGAAATCTGACACAAGAGAAGAATGTAGGTATATATAAATAAGATCTGTATAAGTGATATAGAGTAGAGTTTGACAAAAGCAGTATTTGTTACCTTGTGTGCCGCTTCCCATTTAGCAGCTGCTGAGCAAGTGCTCCATATCGTTCTGCATCCTGCACAACTTCTTGCAAGTGATGCAGGAGGTCATTATCTGGGAAATGTTTTGCTTTGGATTCCTCAACAAGCAGATGAAGAGATGATAGGCCTGAATACCAGTAACACAATAAAAAAAGTACAAAGAGCATATTTCAGTTTTAATTAAATAAAAACTCTCAATAAGTATACAGTTATAAATAAATATAAAATAAAATAATATAATAAACTCTCTGCTCAACAGTAAAAATTCACCACTAGGCAACATTCTGCAAAAATGATCTGAAGTACAACTGTGTGACGCCAAAGCACTACTAGAACCAGCCTTGTCTTGAGAATGTATTCTATCTAAATACATGTTAACGGTGCCGTATGGATTCTGAAGCCTCTACAACCATATAATTTCAAATTTTCAGATATGATATATGTAAGGTGTATCTGCAAAATCTTTCCACAAGTGGATTTGATCTATTTGGATTTTACCAAGTCGTTTGATACGGTTCCACACACTAGATTAGTGTTCAAACTCAAAGAAATTGGTCTAGATGAAAATTCTTGTTCTTGGGTAGAACATTGGCTTAAAAATAGAGTACAGAGAGCTATCATTAATGGTACATTTTCAAGCTGGACAGAGGTTGCAAGTGGTGTCCCTCAAGGTTCTGTTCTGGAACCCTGTCTATTTAACATGTTTGAAAATCATCTTTAAAAAAAGCATTGAAAGTCATGTTTCAGTGTTTGCAGCTGACATGAAACTCTGTAAATTAAAACAATGTGAGCAAGATATTACTTTGCTGCAGAGATTTAGATACTCTGAGGGACTGGGCACTCAAATGGCAGATTAAATTGTAGAAAAATGTAAAGTAATGCACCTCGGCATAAAGAATGCATAAGCAACTAATACCCTTAATGGAAGCAAATTAGGGATAACACACGAGAAGGATTTGGGAATTGTTATAGACAACAAACTAGGTAACATGTGCAATGTCAATCAACAGTGGCTAAGGCCAGTAAGGTTTTGTCATGCATGAAAAGGGGCATTAATTCTCGGGATGAGAATATAATTTTGCCTCTTTATAAATCACTGGTAAGACCACATCTGAAATATGCTGTGCAATTTTGGGGAACCTTTTCTAAAGAAGGATATGGCACTAGAAAAAGTGTAGAGGCAGGCTAAAAAAATAATAAAAGGAATGGAACTTTTTAGCTAAGAAGAAAGATTAACAAATTTAAACCTCTTTAGTTAAGGAAAAAAAGTTACCTCAGATGGGATTTGATAACATTATACAAATATATCCGTGGCCAATACAAACAATTGTGTGAAAATCTATTCACAAGCAGGACTTAACATAGGACATGAGGTCATGCATTTAAACTGGAAGAAAAAAAGATGTAGTCTAAGGTAAAGGAAAAAATTTTTACCGTAAGAACAATAAGGAAATTGAATTCTCTGCCTGAAGTGGTTTTATCATAGGCACCCTTCCGCACTGCAGATGTTTTGGAATACACCTCCCATGATGCTTTGCCAACATTATGGGTGTAAGGGAATGTAGTCCACAACATCTGGAGTGCCGAAGGTTGCCTAACCCTGAACTAGATGCATAGTTGCAAAAACATAATATTCAATTATATAATTTTTCAACTGTAGGATGATAGCTTCTTGATCCAAGGATACAACTGTCTGCCATTCTTGGGTCAAGAGGGAATTTTCTTCCTAGTCCAGGCATAGGCAACCTTCGGCACTCCAGATGTTTTGGACTACACCTCCCATGATGCTTTACCAGCATTATGGAGGATGCAGTCCACAACATCTGGAGTGCTAAAGGTTACCTATCCCTGTCCTAGTTTGTTGCAAAATTGGAAGTGCTCAAACTGTTTTTTTGCCTTCTGGTTTAAAAGCAAAAAACATATGTGAGGAAAACTGAACTTGATGGACACATGTCTTTTCAGCCTATGTAACTATGTGTAGTTGTGACTTAATATACAAAGTTTCAGCATACACAAACCCTAAATATATGAAGTACCTTGTGCCTTTAAAAACTCCACATGGTTTACCTGGGGGCGGAGCCAGCAGCCGCACAGAACGGATGTGTCTCTCAAGAGCTCCGTTCAAGCCGGGGAAAAACAAGCTGTTTCTGCCCAATTTACCCTACCACACCAGCCCAACCAACTTCTTAAGACTATGGGGCGCAAAAGAAAAAAATTCTGGACGGAAAAACACCCAACTACGGCCGATATCGGTGAACGTTTATGGAGGCCGCAAGCATCGCTGAGACCTGTCATGGCGCCGCTCTCTGACGCACCGTCCAGATCATCCAGTGAAGACTCACCCTCCAACCTGGAAATGATGGTGGAGACGCAGAGAGCAGGCAAGCCTAAGGCACAAAACAACCCTCCAGTCACTGAAGACCGACTGAAAGCCCTCTTGGATGATCTACGCCGACATATCGCGGCAGATATCAATTCATTTAAAGAGGAAATTCATGGGGTGTCGGTGAGACTACATGACACAAATCAGCACACGAGGCCTGCATTAATAGAACGATTTGATCCAAACCTAGCACCAAGTTGCAGCAATGGAAGATCGTAGGCGATGGAACAATAATGTTAAAATAATGCGTTGCAACCGCAGAAATCCCCCACCTCATCCGAAGACTGCTATCCAGCTTATTCGCGCCAAAACAAGCCAAAGTCATGTTGCTGCAGGGGTGCTACAGGCTACCACAACCGCAGGCGAACTCCCAGCAAACCAGCAGGGCAGTAATAGTGCGTTTTCAGCATGGACCGGACAAGCAAGCCTTCCTGTCAGTGGTCCGCAACACCACTCCTTAATTTGAGGGACATTTCTTATTATTCTACCCGGACATCTCCAGGGCCACAATGACATGGTGGAGATCCCTGAGACCACTTACCAAAGTGCTGATGCAACATAGGAGACCCTACAGATGGGGAGCACCACAAAGCCTTTTGATACCTAACGAGACTGGGACTCTTAGAGTTGCCGACATATCCGAAATGGGCTCCATTCTTCAACCACTTGGTCTCCCCCCCGCGGAGATGGGGACGCAACCACCAGCACCTAAGCCAAAGTCGCAGACATAGGACCTGGCCACTATCCGCCCTTTTGTCCCGGCTACCCAACGGAGCAACAACGCCACCACGGAGACAACTTGAATGTCCTACACTACCACGCAATGCTTGCAGTACTGCTTTTATCCAAGTTACTTCTTAATATGTTGCACTGTTTATTAGATAATTAGGTACATAAGCATGCACAATGTGTAGGCAGATAGCTGTCCCTTGAGACATGTCTCACCAAACCCTCACCCGCTGGCTCTGGGGTATACGTACCCCTTTCTCCTCCCGATCTCAGCACTAAGTTACATGTTAAAAGGGATGTTTCGCCTCTTGTGCTTTAGCCACAAAAATGTCCTACACTCGCTGATCCCAAGAGACTCATAGCGATAACTGCTCCGTGACAACATAGGATTCTACCGATGACCTTCCAAAGAGGGGCAGTCGGTATAGTTTAGGTGAGTTGATTAGCCACTGTTTCCTAAAGTTTTTATGATAAAACCTTCAGACCTAATGTGTTCCACATGGTTAATTATGAGAGAATAGGCAGGTTTGCAAAATACTGTTATGCATGCTCCTAAAAACGCCTTGCATATTATCCTAATGGCACACAACCTCCAGTACACAAACTGGTCTGTGAGCCACTCTTAGCCCTGTTTAAGATAACCTGTTTTATTGCACTGCTAATTAGTACGCAGCTTAACTAAATTCTGCTAGTAATAATACCAAAATGTGCATGAAAAGTATTTGCCACGTGAATGTTATATTATGAATAATGGAACGCTTGCATCCGCTGTCGTGGCAATGCAGGTCGCCTGTACACAACAAGCACAATAAAATTAAGAATTTAAAAACAAAAAAACAAGCAAAAAAAAAAAAAGTCCACATGTGGTTATACCCATACACAATGATATATCATCAATGTTAGATCCACAGTAGCATTTACATGTAAAAATAGCATATATAGTGCTACACCAAAGGAGATAAAATAAATAAGGGAAAAATAATAGGAAAGACACATTTACAAACAAGAGCGCAGATAACCTTCTACTGAGGACACAAGAACTCCACTATAAATCACAGGCCAGGAGCTGATGCAGAAAGCAGTCCACAAGGTTGAATTCACAGAATAGCTACACACAGGGCAGATGCAAAGATTTTTGGCTGTGCAGGCAAAGATTAATTTTGCACTCTCCCCAAAATGCGTCTACATGTGTGCCTCTTAACCGGGAATGTCTGGAACCATTTTGTATTTTATTCCTTTTTACAGCCCCTCCTTGTCTCTCTTACTTTTCCCCCAGCCCCTTTGTGTCTCTCTTACTCCCCCTACAGCCACTTTGTCTCTCTCTTACTCCAAAAATGTACAGGGGCATTAAAGCATTAAGAATACAGGTTTTGATTCCTAATGCGATTGTGTCTTTAATGATGGGTTAAAGGACCACTCTAGGCACCCAGACCACTTCAGCTTAATGAAGTGGTCTGGGTGCCTGGTCCAGCTAGGGTTAACCCATTTTTTTTTTATAAACATAGCAGTTTCAGAGAAACTGCTATGTTTATAATTGGGTTAAGCCTTCCCCCAAAGCCTCTAGCGGCTGTCTCATTGACAGCCGCTAGAGGTGCTTGAGTGCTTCTCACTGTGAAAATCACAGTGAGAGCATGCAAGCGTCCATAGGAAAGCATTGATAATGCTTTCCTATGTGACCGGCTGAATGCGCGCGCAGCTCTTGCCGCGCGTGCGCATTCAGCTGACGGGGAGGAACGGAGGAAAAAAAAAGGTACGTTTTACCCCTTTTCCCCTTTCCAGAGCCGAACGGGAGGGGGTCCCTGAGGGTGGGGGCACCCTCAGGGCACTATAGTGCCAGGAAAACGAGTATGTTTTCCTGGCACTATAGTGGTCCTTTAAGGTTAATACAGTTTAAGGTTTAAAGATAGGTAGTGTAAGTATAGGGTTAAAGGGACACTATAATCACCAAAACAACTTTAGGTTAATGAAGCAGTTTTGGTGTATAGAGCCTAGCCCTGCAGTTGCAATGCTCAATTTTACCACATGACAGGAGGCTTCATATTTGCATAATCTTTCTTTACTGTAAACTCCAGCGGCATAGAAACAGTAACAACCAATCAGAGAAAAGATATGGTGCCCATAAAAGGCCCTGTCTATGACATCACTTCCTCTTTCTTTGCTGCTCCAGCCTACAGGTCAGAGTACTCTTACCCTCTGTGGCTTGTTATGATTTTATTGTTTTTTGTTAATGTCTTATACCTTCTATTTATATCCTACTACTTCTGGCCTTCTTCTACTGTCTCTCTGCTTCCCCTCCTTATACCTCCTATATATTATATATATATATATATATATATATATACATATACATACATATATATATATATATATATATATATATATATATATATATATATATATATATATATATCTATCGTATTTCCTATTTGGTCTGTAGCTCCGCGGGCGTCATGGCTGCCGGTGCCGTGCTCGCCACGCGGACCTACCCTCTTCATGCTCGGGGACTTCGTGGGGACGGGTAGTTTTTAGTTTTTTCCCCCGCCGCGCCCTCCAACCGCGGCCGGGAGCGAGTGCACACGCGGTCGGCGGCCATCTTGGATCTCGCGAGATCCTCGGCGGCCGCCTCTCTCTTCAGTAAAGCGGATCGGGAATCACCCGATCACCGCTCCACACCTCCATTGCCCCTACAAGTGACCACCATATATACTTTTCATTTACTCTATGCGGTAGGAAGGATTTCCCAGGATTTAACCCCCTGTTGCCCACTACACTGGGCATATGTGTATACATTGCATGCAACAAACTGAATACATCTGTACCACTGCTATATAATCACAAGAGACATATTATTACATACCCTCTACAGGGTCATACAGTACTGCTGTGCCCTCCAAGGGCATATTAAATTGCAACACCCTCCAAGGGTTACACTATATTACTGTACCTGATGGTGCAAATTGATGTGTCCTCTGGGTATTTTTTCATGGCACACCACCTGGGGTGACCCCCCAGATATGCATGCAAGGTCACTGACCATTACTTATGTGGGTGTCCTCTGGTTACCACGGCACACCACCCGGGGTGAACCCCGAATATATGCACGAGGACCTACCCTCAACCGACATTTAGCCCTAATTGCTACCTAACGTGCATACAGCTCTGGTGTACAACTGTGGCGAACCCTAACTATACACCACCACTGAGCTCATATCAGGCGGCCTCTATTAGGCGACAGCCCATATACTATACGCCTCTAAACTCAATTTTACCAACTGGGCGACCCCCAGTTGTACCAGGAGTCTGTCACTACATGTACTGACTCTCCCCACTGCCTCCACTGACTTTCATTATCGCCCAACAGGCCGAGAAAAACATACTACAAATCATGGAAGACACACAAAATAGTCAGGATTTCCAGGCTATGATTAATGCCGCAGTGGCGGCATCGGTAGAAAAAGCCCTCTTGAAAGCTCTACCCCAAAGTCAGGGCGACATGAGTCCCCCAGAACGGATGGAGGCTTCGGGCTCAGAGATGTCCAAAGTAAAACGACAGCGAAAGGCTCTGAGCCCCCCTTCCACCAAGCACGTAAACCTTTTCACCACCTTGAATAAGGCCCAAACCTCGCTCAAGCAAGTTTTGCATACCCCGACTACAAGGGGTGTTTTTGGAAGGGCTGGTCGGCAGCGGAACCGAGCCACCAGCCGTTTTTGGACCTCCGGTTCCAGATCACTCCCGCAGACCCAGAGTTTCTTCCCATCTACGACGCAAAGGCCCTCTTCGTTCCGAGGGACAGGGAGGTCTAGAGGATTCAGAGGTCGGGGACGCGGCCGCTTCTCCACTGGTGAGTCCACCTACATACCAAAATGTTTCACATTTTATAGCAGGCAGCCTGTCCCTTTTCTTTCAGAACTGGGAGCTGATCACCAAAGACACCTGGGTCCTACAGACGGTACAAGGATTCGTCATAGACTTCTTCACAAAACCCATACAACCCAACCCCCCTCCTCCGATTCACCTGTCAAAGGAACAAGAACGTTTGGTGGACGAAGAGATCCACACGCTCTTCAGGAAAGGCGCAGTACAATACGCACCAGAAGGGGGAGGATTTATAAGCAACATTTTCCTGGTCAAGAAGAAAACAGGCGACTACAGACCAGTTATCAATCTCCGACAACTGAACTCATTTGTGGTGTACAGGCATTTCAAGATGGAAGGAATCCACCTTCTGCAAGACCTCCTCATCAAGAACGACTGGTTTACACGTCTGGACCTCAAAGACGCATACCTGTCCGTTCCAGTAAGCGTACACTGCCGACGTTTCCTCCGCTTCCTATGGAGAGGACGGATATGCCAGTTCACATGTCTGCCGTTCGGCCTCAGCTCAGCCCCGTGGTGCTTCACGAAGCTCCTGAGACCAGTGATGGCGCACATACGAACCCGGGGCATAAGATGTCTCGTATACCTGGACGATTTGCTAATTTTCTGCGAA